ACAGGTTGATGCCATTGAATGATATTTATTACTTACATTTCCCAAGATGAGGGCAGACTTTATGGCAGGCGCAGCCACAGGGATACATCTGGTTTGGTCAGGAGGCAGAATCGGGAGTGAGCCAAAAACTTCAGCCAGAGCCTTACTTAGGTTTCCACAGGCGAGCTAAAACAGCACAGAGTAAGCACCTTAGGACTGGCTACTTTGAAAAATGCCAGCAGGCTTTGGAGCACAGAAACTGTCTTAGTTTTGAGGCACCTGGTCCTGGGTTGGTTTATACCAGGGGATATATTGTCTTGGTGTGTAGGAAATAAGGAGCTTTTAGGGACATTGCACCAGATCGGGGTGTACTGCACATGAAAGGTGTGCTCCAGGCAAGCTGTCCACCACCAGCATGGAATTAAACACCCCTAGTTCCCTAGGGAAGAATTTTCCTATGTCTGAAAGCCCAGTGAAGGTGTCAAAATATCTTAAAATACAGAATATAAAGTATGTGATTAATACAATCAGAAAGAAGACAAGAATTTCCCTGTGCCAACCAGTTCAATTCAACATGGTGGTGGTGGGGGGGGGGTACTACCAGGGCAATTAGGCAAAATAAAATAAAAAGCATTGCAGATTTTAAGGACACACACACATACCCCCTGGCAGACATACAGAATCACACAGGCTTTGTCATTGAACATGTATATGCACACACTCAGACACAGACACACAGAGTCACAAACCCTCAGAGGCCTTGGCACAGACACACACAGCCCAGGCCCTCAGAGCTGCTCCGCAGCTCTCTCTCCCTCCCTAGGGCTAAGTACCACCTGACTCATTACATGTCTTGTTAGTATCCCTTGTTTCTCGTCCCCTACAATGGCAGCTTCAATGAGACAGGGATGTTTGTTACCTTTCACTCACTACAGAATCTACCAGGAGGCCTATTACACCAGAGGAGATTGATACTTATGAACTAACTAGCCTATAGACACACACAAACTCATTCAGGGCCCACATGAACTTGCTCTTCACATCCCAGGCCCACAGTTCACTTCAGTGAACTGTTCTCAGCTCCATCCTATGTGACACAAAGGTATCTTATCTTCTGGTCCTCAAACTCATCTCCCAAGAAGTGTCCATCTGCCCATCCTGGTGACAAAGGGCCTTCAAATTTCCTGAGCCTGCACATTACTGTAAGATCATCTAAGAAACACAACTCAAGAGCATAAGAGCATGAAGAAGTGAGCGTCAGGGCCTGGAATGGCGGGAGTTATCCTCTCCCAAATCCTCATGCTGCTGCAATCACTTCCAGAAATGCACCCCTCACTACGTGACCCTTCCTCACTTTGCTTTCCCTCTGGAAGCTCAGGGAGGTCAATGACGGTTCCTCACTTGGCTGCCATCTCCTCGGTATGGCGTCCATCACCTCCCTGAGGTCTCACCTGTGCTCAGGTCTCCCTGGGTCAGCCCTGGGGACCAGTCCTCCCAAGCCCTGGATCTCTTGCTCTCATTGCAAGTTCCTTGATGGCGATGGGGAACAGCTTCAGGACCTAGGACCACGCAGAGAGATGACCTGGGGTCCCAAGAAAACACTGGAAGCTGGCGAGGGCAGGGAGGAGGTTTGGCTCACTTCTGACTCTCCCCTTCAAGTAACAGTGGGCACGGCCTCCAACGAGGTGAGAATCAGGCTTCACCTCCTGCGCAGTTTGGGGAAGGCGGAAATCCCTGGCATTTCCCTCCACTTAGGCGTGGTACTGCACTGCATTTTGGGAGCCACGTGAAGTGCGGGGGCACCCCTCTGGAGTGCCGAGGGCCTGGCTGACATGTCATTTACCACAGCCCATGGGGCTGAAATTCTACAGGGTGAGCCCAGGTCCAGAGGAGTAGGCACCAGTCTCGGAGGGTCGGCTCCACACTCTGAAGGCCACATTCGAGTGAGGGTGTGGTCGGTGCATGCGCCACTCAAACCACAGGGTGGAATGTGCCCCAGAACTCGGGCAGGGCGCTTCTGGGACAAGTGGGCTCCTGAGGGATTTCCGGAGCTAGGACAAGGCAGGGCATCTCCTTTTGACATTATTGGTGGGGTTGAGAATATTGTGAGATGTGCTTCTTGGTGCAGAGGTGTTTATGCGATTATTGTGTTCGAGGAGCCTGTTCCTCAAGACATGGGCTCTGAGTTGCAACAAAAAGTTCCAGAGTGCAGTAGGTGTTGCATTTAAACATGTTTCCCAGAAAGGATGCACAACCACAGTCGGTTTGGGATGGGAAATTTAAGAGCTGGAAATGGCCTCCAGCTCTGCGCCGGGAAGACATGATGCTGATGCCCAAGGATTAGATTAGGATATCCCCAGGCTGACCTTACTTGTGGGGACCTGTTAGATGCACCACTACGTTCCCGAGCAGAGCATTTCCTGTGTATGACTCTAGAAACCTGGTGGTATCGCAAAGGTGGATGCCAGGAGCCCTATCACCGTCTCACCTGTTGTGCGAATGAGGGCAGGTGTTTCCCTAGTGTGTTTTCTAGAATCCAAATCAGTACCAAGAAAGTCCTCTTGTGACCTTTCTCCTTGCCCTGACTTTTCAGTTCTAAGAAGGACCTCAAGGTAGTGAAGGGAAGTGTTGCACATGTAGCAATCTAAGTTCGGAACAGTTCTAACATTCTCCCAGCATGTGAAAACATTTTGGTCGCTCTACATATATGTTTTTAGTATTTACACATACTGTTTCCAGAGTAGTTGTGAGTTTTCACAAATGCATAGTTATACCACGAAGACCAAAAACACTCCATCAGCCCAGAGGAACACTCTTGTGGTGCCTGTTTATACTGAACCCACCTTTAGACATGAATCTTTAAGGTTCCTATACCTTTACCTTTTCCAGAATGTCACATAAGTGGATCACCATGTAGTCTTCTAAGTCCTGTTTAGAAACTCTGATACCACATTTGTAAAGGTACATATTTATATGAACCTAGCATTGTTCTTCTGAATTTAAAATTTTTGACATTGCATAGTAGAGGAACACAGATTATGACTAAAATTGAGATTACACTATAATGAGTTATGTAAATTTGGGTAAGGTTTGTGCTTTACCTTCTTCATTTGCATGATGGAAGGAAAGATGGGGGCAGAGGATCATGTGAGATACCAATACTGTAAAAATCACATAATCTTTACACTGCTTAGAAAACATAAATTAGCACTAAAAAAGAAAAAGGATCAAGTGTGGATTTCCTTTGCTGTTTAATGAAATAAAAGTCATCACCATTTACCCCATGTTTCATAAAATCTCCTGAAAGTGTAAACATATGGAAATGATCCCCGAAAACAGCCAAAATGAGCATGGAAAGCTTTGTGCATTCCAGTGAAACAAAGAACTTCCAGCTACTCATCTGATAAACAGGAACAGAAAATTTCCCAATTTGAAGATGTATATACCTCCTTTGCCAATACTTTGTCTGCAGATCACCTCAGTTTCTCCTTAGATCATTGTCCTCTAAACATCAATGGCTTTCTGGTGTTTTCACCAGGAAACCACACTGGACTTGAACAAACATCACTCTACCATAAAAAACCCATGATGGGCTACTGCGGTGCAATGACCAGAACTCTTTCTTAAACTGGGAGGAACCCAGAGGTTTCCTAAGGTACACAAATTGTGTCACTCAGTTTAACAGCAAAACGATATGCCATTTCAAAAGGGAATTTCAAATGGTTTCAGTTGGTGTTAAGTAGAAACATAAATACCACAAATACCACGGCCTACAGCAGTGAGAAGTCCCTCAGGCCACATTCCCATGGCCATACTCACAATCGAATGGCACATGCTCTGAAACTAGCACCATGTCTACACATTTATGCAAGGCCATTGCTGTTAATCCCAGGAATGCAGAACCTTTGGTATTGCTGTCCATTGTTTAAATCAACACTTGAGCAGATCTCCAAGTCCTTAAGATGTTTTAGATGGGGAAAAGATGGTCAGTAATGACATCCCCATTCACTAGGGCCCCTACCCTCTATAATGATGTATGACCTACCCTAGTTTTCTATTTTTTATTTTTAAAGATTTCATTTATTTATCTTGAGAAAAGGGAAGCGGGAGAGAAACATGAATATATGGTTGCCTCTAGCTTAGCCCCCACTGGGGACCCACCTCCAATTTAGGAATGTGCCCTAGACTGGGAATTGAAATGACAGCCCTTCAGTTCCCAGGCTGGCACTCAATCTACTGAGGCACACCCTACAGGGCCACCCCAGTTCCCTATTATCTCAGCTGCCATTGTTTCCTTACTTTCAACACCTCTATTTTCTTAGAAACCAAAGCTTTCTCATTTAACCATCTCTCTTTTTGCACAAAAACGTAATAAGCATCAGGAGTGGAATAACTTTTAAAAAAAATTGTTATTCTAACAGGTTTCCAAGAATAAAATTACCAACTTCCCTCTATTCTCACTAATGATTTGTGTTTCTTACCACTTAGGTTAGGTATCCAGGGATCCTCATTCTTTCTGCCTTCTGGATAAAAATGATTATCATTACCCAAGATAGAATGAAGCTCATTTCCTCACAGAAGCCAGTGCAAAAGTGTTGCTTCCTTGAATAGCAAATTACATATCCCAAGCCCAAGAAATCCTTCTAAGTGTGTTGTTACTTTTACATCCACAGTCATTCATGGTTTGTGGTCATTTTATTAGTATTCATTTCACTACATGTTTCTTTTACTACAGATGTGATTTTGTTGGTCTTTGGCTGGAGAGGACTAAAAAATGATTGAAAATTTTAATATTATGAATGAATAAGAAAGTAGTCTCATGCCAAAAGTTGTAAGTGTAAAAAAATAAAATAAAATTTGCCTGAGGAAAATATATCTGACTTTGTACATACAAGATAACTGTGACTCAGAATGTATAATGATTAAGTCAAAAAGACTATAAGTTGACCCAAAAATACATTATTACATGGGATATTTAAATATATGCTCAGGAAATAAAAAACACAGTAATAGTTCTTAGCATAAGAGTACTTGGGAAAAAAGTTATTATTTCTTCAGAAAGTACAGAAGCATTTACTAGAGGAAAAATGCACACAAGTTTAATCACATGCAACCAAAGATAATTGAAATCATTGGGAGATTATGTTCAGCCACAAGTAAATGCAAACATCCAGAAACTGCATGCACTGGAGAAAGGACTGGTTCTTGCATGGAAGGACTGGCTCAGAGAAGGCACTGCACAGTGTGGTGGAAGAACAAACTGTTTCCTAGCCCTCTGCACTGCACCACTGTAGACGTCGCAGTGGAGTCAGAATCACACAGTCAACAGGGGTATCCACAGAACAAGGTGATTACTTGTCAAAGTAAACCTAACACAAATACAATCTGAAAAAGAGTGGTGTACCCTTCAGAAAACAGTCTCAACCGCTACAGTCAACATTTGTAGCCTGGTGGGCTCAAATGGGCTTGCAGGAAAATCCAACCTATGCTGCATCTTTAATGTTGAATTCTGAACAACTGTAAAGCTTACTCCTGAGATCAAATGGAAGTCAGGCAGTCGGTGGTGGATTAGAGGATATTCTTGATGGCAGGGCGAAGACTGAGGGAAACCAACACACACAAAAGCTCCATGCTTCTGTCTGTCTCCTTTTACACAAGTGGCTTCAAAACCAGTCCAATCCTGTTTCACTCCTGCATTCAAGTTTCATGCAGGTTGGGCCTTGCTGATTTCTAACATGCAAACATAAAGGCAACAGATTGTGGAAAATGTAGTTCACAACATTACACATGTCATATAACAATCAGGAAGTGTCACCTCCAAGTCTAGACCTTATTGTCCTGTCACAGGTATTCTCTTCTAAATGCAGGCTTCCTAGTCCAAGTCCCAGCCAGAAGCAACGACAAAAGCTAGGGACAGTGGATGAAAATCATTCACATGGGACTATACTCTGTAACAAACTTGACACACTTACAAATATGTGGCAAATATTTATTGAATAAAATAATACTGAATGTCAACTGTCATTGAAAAATTAAAACATTTATTGACAAGAAAATGGAATGAAGCTCTTCAGGCCAATGAAAAGGCACTTTTCTGTTAAGGTAGAATATATATATGTGTGTAAGGCATATTCATTCAATACTTGCTACAGGAAGCCAGATGGAAAACATGAACAAACTTAAATGTTCCTTCATTTGCAGAACACTTACAAAATTACAGAAAAATTGAACCTACTTGTATATTAGTAAAACACTTCCATTTACTCATGGATCTAACAAACTTCAATATAGAAATACAAAGTGTTTATTAACTGACAGGAAGGAAAAAATACCTATTCAACTTAGAAACTCTTGCTTACAGAGTTATCTGCAGAATTAATTACCTCAGTGCATATTTGCAAAAATAAGTGGACTCCATACTACAGAAAATCACTGTGAGAATGAGTCAGTCATAATGACCGTGTATGTCTAAGGTTTATAGTATTTCTTCCATGCTGTGAATTTTGGGGAGTGCGTGAATTAATTTGCACCAGGCTTACATGTAGTAGTTACTGTAATGTGATTTCCTCCCAGGGCAGTTTTTGAGCTGCTCTGAAAGTATTTATTAAAACTTTGCTTTCATTTTCAGTCATACAGTATCTATCCAGTGTACATTCTCACATGGTGTTGTGGGGATGTGAGGCAAAATGGAGGTATTTCCTACACAGTTTACAGTCAATAGAATTCTCTCTACTTGAAGTTTTTGTCACAGCTTTCCGAGCAACTGGGACAGCTGAAGGCTCTCCTATGTTCTTTGCATGTGCACGATGGGCCTCCAGTGTGCGTTCTTACATGTCTGTGAAAGGCTCTCCCCTTTTCCTTATGTGCATAGTAGGCTTTCTCTCAGGTTCGAGTTCTTTCATGGTTTTCTAAAGAAGTGGGATGATGGAAAGCTTTTCTATAATCTTTACATTGACAGCTCTTTCATTCTTGATACTAAACTGGGAGACATAAATGAGTCTTCCATCGTGTCTAATAAATGAGACACAGGGCTTTTCTCCCCTGCATGTCTTTCTAACAGTCCTTACATTTACAGGTCCATCTCCAATCTGCACTATCACATGTGACTGCAGAGCTGAGTGATAAATTCAGGGTCTCCCACATTCTTTGCATTAACAGGGTTCATCTCTACAACGTGTTCTCACATGTTTACGGTAACTACTTGGGTAACCAAAGGCTTTACCACATTTTACACATTCGTAGGGTTTTTCTCCACTGTGTATTCTTTCATGCATTCGACAGTACCTGTGACAACTGAAAGCTTTTCCACATTGCTTACATTGATATGGTTTCTTCCCACTATGCGTTTTTTCATGAATTTGAAAGTAACTGGGACGACTAAAGGCTTTCCCACATTGCTTACATTCATAGGGTTTCTCCCCAGAGTGAGTTTTTTCGTGATTTCTAAGAAAAGTGGGATAACGGAAAGCTTTACCACATTCCTTACATTCATGAGGCTTCTTTCCATCATGAGTTCTTTTATGTTTTCTAAGATATCTGAGTAAACTGAAGGCTTTACCACATTCCTTACAGTCATAGGGCTTTTCTCCCCTGTGTATCATTTCATGACTTCGAAATTTTCTTGGACAAATGAAATCTCTCCCACACTCCTTACATTTAAAAGGTCCGTCTCTGCTGTGCTTGATCATGTGTCTTTGAAATATGGTGAGAGAACTCCAGGCTTTGCCACACTTCTTACACTCATAGGGTTTCTCCTGAGTATGAGTTACTGCATGTCTACATAAGTTACTTGAATACCTGTAGGCTTTACCACATTTTGTACATTCATAGGGCTTTTCCGCACGGTGTTTCTTTTCATGTACTCGAATATATCGGCGCTGCTTGAAAGCTTTCCCACATTCCTTACATTTATAAGGCTTCTCTTCATATTCCTGACACTGGTATAGTTTGGGTCCAGTGAGCGGTCCTGTGTGGCTAGTAAAGGATAAAAGATGCACGAAGACTTGTGCACACAACCTGGATTTAGGTAGTTTTATTTCAGTAGCAGTTTCTTTCTTTTCGTCATGGTTTGAAATCTGGCTGAAGGTTTCTCTACATTGACTATCTTCTTTCCTTTTATAGAGTCTCTCTACCGTATGGCTGCTGTAAAAATCAAAAGCATATCATTAATACTTTTTTATTAGTGGTTCTATATTTATTAATAGTATGACAATGACATTTTTACCATTTTCAAGGAAAGTGTAGGGTTTCTGCACATACTGTTGGAATGGCTATACTAATAGCTCAGAAACTGGGCTTGATCATAGAGATTATAAAAACAGTAATATTCACTAATGCTGTTTCTGTGTACTGTTTCCAAGTATACTTATTTACTTTTTATACACTAAACATCTAGGTCACATTTGAGAAAAATATTTTGATGAAAGTAGTCTAAGAATCAGTAAATTTGAAAAGTGGCTCCTATGATTTGTTTGCCTATGTTTTTATCCCCCTTTAAAAAAAGTTATTTATTTATTTATTTTTAGAGAGAGGGGAAGGGAGGGAAAAAGAAAGGGAGAGAAACATCAGTGTGTGGTTATCTCCCAAGCACCCCTACTAGGGACCAGGTCTGCAACCCAGGCATGTGCCTTCGCTGGGAATCGAACTGGCAACGCTTTGGTTCACAGGCCAGTGCTCAAGCCACTGAGCCACATTAGCCACAGCTGTTTGCCTGTTTTTAACATATGATGACATAATACGATTCTCTTGTGGGACACTGCTCCCTCATGTCAGGGTGACTCACCTAGGATTTGTCCCATGTTTTTCATACTGATCTTCACTGTCATGGTCTTCCCATTTTTCTTCTAAAATACATGCTAGAAAAAACATTATAAATTATTAAAGAATATGAAAAATGGCTAGATTTCAGGTCCACAATGAGCTGTGATCATGCCTAATTTAGTTATCTAAGTATTTTCTCTCCACATTTCACTTCTTCAAACAGCACTGATAAGCAAGCAACACTAGTTTTCTAACTAACTAAAAGAGTAAGTAAGAAGTTGTCATCACTACCTACGGAAGCCAGGTTCCTGAAGGTTTCCTGCATCACATCTCTGTACAGTTTCTTCTGGGTTGGATTCAGGATGGCCCACTCCTCCATGGTGAATTTCACATTAACATCCTCCAAGGCCACGGAGTCCTAGAACATCCCACACATGTACATACAGGAGGGTGGGTGAGACAGACAGCACTGGGGATCTACACACAAACCATACAAAGTTTGCATATGACACATGGTCTCCAACATTTATTCTATGACTTGGCTGTCAGACTAATATTTATTAGCCACAACTCACTTCCTCGGGAAACACATTTAATTTGTTGTTACATTTTTATTGTGATCACTTCAAGTCTTCACTGCTCTCTAATGTCAGGGCACAGAGCTCTTTGAAGAAATTCTATACAGATAAAAAATATTTCCAGTTTAAGCACATCAATTCCTTGTGAGAAAACTCTCATCTCCTCTAACACCACATGGTGCAGCCCTACATGAAGCACACTGTCACACCTGCATAAAGTGTTAATGAATATGAACAAAATAAAGACCTGGAAGCTTTTTCATCTATTCTTATCACCAAACATGAGAGACCAGGAGGTCTGTGGAAATTCCACTGGTAACAAAATGCAGCTGGCCACATTGTCCTGAAGTACTCTGGACCATTCAAGTAGTCAGGTCCACTTGGCCAAATGAAAACATTGCTGTGGAGGAGTATGAATTATAATATGTTTATATAATACGTATTACTGACTCCATTTGATCTTCTTTTGTCTGTCTCATTTCATGGGGCTAGGAAGTTACCAGTGTTAAGAGCCCAGGAGTGAGGAAGGCGGGGCAATTTAGACCTCTGCGAAATTCCCATATTTGCAAGCTTCAGGGTCACTTCATGCCAGTTGGGGGTTTTTTTTGGTCAAACTATAAGTAAAAGTTTATTTAGAATGTCACAAAGGCAGAGGAAGTGAGTCATAGAAGGAATGGGCTGAGGAAGAAAGTTACAGAAGTCAAAGAAGAGAGCCCTTGGAGCTTAGGAGAGAGGCAAGGACAACAGGCCTGGGGGAAATGGGCAGGGAAAGGTGGGGCGTGCTCCGTAGAGAGAGCTGCCACTTCACACCAGTTTTTAGGACACGTAGCCACATATACTGAAATGATAAGATCACACAAAAAAAGTCTTTCCATTAGAATTGTATCACTGTAACCTGGGTTTTCACTTTGAGGAAAAGCTTAACACCTGGCACCTGCAAGGAAGGGCCTTCACTGGAATCCACAATATGTTCATGTTGAATTGGCACATGGTCACAAAATGCATAAGGTGTTGGGCAGGGTTTGGAGGGGTTGGGTGGTACTGGAAATATCAGAGAAAGCACCTTGTAACATACATGACTGTCTAACCACTATGCATTACACCTAAAACTAATACAAAATAATACTGAATGTAAATTGTAACCGACATTTAAGTTGTAAGTGAAAGCACATACAGTGTTCATGGATAGAAAGAATTCATGTCATTAAAATGTCCACACTACCCAAAGCAATCTATTAATTTAACGCAATTCCTATCAAGATACCAATGGCATATCTCACAGAACTAGAACAAATATTCCAAAAATTTATGTGGAACCACAAAAGACCCCAAATAGCCATAGCAATCTTGAGAAAGAACAGAGTTGGAGGAATCACACCATCTGTTATCAAAATATACTACAAGGCCATAGTAATCAAAACAGCATGGTACTGGCATAAAAACAGACACACATCAATGGAACAGAATAGAGAGCCCAGAAATAAATCCACATTTTTATGGTCAATTAATATTTGACAAAGGAGGCCAAAACATACAATGGGGTAAAGACAGTCTATTCAATAAATGATGTTGGACAGACACATGCAAAAACCATAAAAATCCTAGAGGAAAACATAGGCAGGAAAATTCTGGACATTTCTCATGGCAATATTTTTTCTGATAGATCTCCTCAGGCAAGGAAATACAAAAGAAAAAAACAAATGGGACCACATCAAACTAAAAAGGTTTTGTATAGCAAAGGAAACCATCAACAATATGACAAGGCAAAAAGACAACTCACTGAATGAGAGAACATATATTTGCCAATGATATATCTGATAAGGGGTTAATACCTCAAATTTTTAAAGTTAATGCAACTCAATACTCCAAACCCCAAACAAACAAGTCAATTAAAAAATGGGCAGAAGGGCTTGACTGGACTGGCTAAGGGGAGTTGGGTGTTGTCTTGAAAACTGAAAGGTCACCGGTTCGATTCCCAGTCAGGGTACATGCCTGGGTTGTGGGCCAGGTCCCCATTTGAGAGTGTGCAAGAGGTAACTGAGCCATGTTTTGCATGTTCTCTCCCACTCTTTCTCCCTCCCTTCCTCTCTCTCGAAAAATAAATAAAATCTTTAAAAAAAATGGGCAAAGGACCTAAAAGACACTTCTTGAAAGAGGACATACAGATGGCCAATAGGTATATCAGAAAATGCTTGTTACTAATCATCAAAGAAATGCAAATGAAAACCACAATGAAATTTCACCTCACACATCAATAAATCAACAATAAGAGTTGGTGAGGATGGGGAGAAAAGGGAAATCTCGTAAACCTCATGCACTCTTGGGAATGCAGACTAGAGCAACCATTATGGAAAACAATATGGAGTCTCCTCAAAAAATTAAAAATGGAACTGCCTTATGATCCAGCAATTCCACTTCTGGGAATATATCCAAAGAAGCATGCAACATTAATGTGAAAGAATATATGCACCCCTATGTTCATTGTGGCATTATTTATTACAGTCAAGATTTAGAAGCAGCCCAAGTGACCATCAGTAAATGAATAGATAAAAAACTGTGGTATATTTACACATTGTAATGCTACTTGACTATAAAATGGAAGGAAATCTTACCTTTTCTTTTCTTCTTTAAAATGTTTTATTTATTTTTAGAGAGAGGGGAAAGGAGGGAGAAAGAGAGAGAGAGAAACCTTGATCTGTTGCCTCTCGCACACTCCCAACTAGGGACTTGGCCCGCAACCCAGGCACATGCGGTGACTGGGAATTGAACCAACAACCTTTTGATGTGCTGGCTGGTGCTCAATATACTGAGTCACCCCAGCCAGGGTGGAAATCTTACCTTTTAGACAGCATGGATGGAACAGGAGATTATTATGCTAAATGAAATAAGCCAGTTAGAGAAAGATATGAGAAAGAAATACATTATGATTTTACTTTGATGTTTCTCTCCCTCTTTCTATCCCCTTCCCCCTCTCTAAAAATGAATAAAATCTTTAAAAAAAAAGAAAACCCCCCCCAAAACTCAAGACACAGACAACTGTATGGTGACTCCCAGAGGGAAAGGACGTAGCAGACCGTAGAAGAGGGTAATGGGAAGGGGGGCAGATAAATGGTGATGGAAGGAAACTTGACTGGGTGGTAAACAAACAATACAATATACAGATGATGTATTACAGAATCTTATACTTGAAACTTACATAATTTTATTAACCAATGTCATCCCAGTAAATTGAATACAAAATTTTAAAGAACAAAAAAAATTATCTTCACCTGAGGACATGCTTATTGATTTTATCTATCGTCTACCTACCTACCTACCTATCTATTCTTAATCCTCATCGAAGGATATTTTTTCATTGTTTTTAGCAAGAGGGGAAGGGAGGGAGAAAAATATTGATGTGAGAAACATTGATTGGTTGCCTTTACAAATATTAATCTAAAAATTTTAAATGTGCCTGAAAGCATAAATACATTCATCAGACCTTGAATTTCTCTTGCCTAAAAAGAAATATCTCTATTTGCTTTCACAATGTTCTTGCTTTTTCCACCTTGTATCTCTCAATTAATTGACATGTTCAGAATCCAAGTTCTCAAGGAAACTGGGGCCAAAGGGCTGCACTATTCAGTGGATAAAGGATCCAAAGGAAAGGAACAAGTTTGGAATCAGCTCAGAAGAGCCACCTGCTTCCCACAGGGCAGAAGGAAAGTCACTTTTGGAAGGTTCCACATCTATACTCTCCAGATTGAGTCAGAGCCCCTGAAGTGGGCCAGTCCCTGGGGACAAAGAGGGAAGGATATCTGAGCAGCCCCAAGAGTGAACTCTGGGAAATACAACACCCTCCTATCTGGGGGGAATACTGGAAATGCTCCCTCCCTTGGGCTTCAGCTCACAGCAAAGAAACACTCAGCTGGATTCAGTGTCAGGTTCTGACCCAAATGAACTCCAAGTTCACAGACTCTAACCACAGACCAGGCTCCTGACTTTCATAGGAAAGCTGGGGTTCATGAATTACACTCTGAATGCACCCACACTGTGGATGTAAAACTCCAACTTATGTCTAAACACAAGCCCAGGACAGCCACAACTAAAACCTCAGAAAGAGCATCATCCCCCTCCCCCATGTGTACATACGCCCCAGCTTTCCAGGGCTGCAGCTTCTCAGTGCACGGGCTTCTTCCATGGGGAGTGTGAGCAGGTAGGACACCTGCAGGGGGAGGCTCCCCAGGTAGAACCACTGGGCCTTCAAGTACTTCCCTGTGCAGGCTCAAGGTAGAGGGTCTTCCTTAGCTTAAAGTAAGTGGTCCCAGGCCTCTACTCCCCACTGAAGTTTCTCTGAACCACCATTGATAATTTAAATGACACAAAGCTAGTATTTGAACAAGCAGCAATTATAAGGTACTTTGCTAGCTCAACAAAAAAATCCACAAGACTGCATTGCCTATATATATATATATATATATATATATATATATATATATATATATATGTTATAGTTTACATGGCAAGATTTTGTTTTATAAGTTGTTAATCATACTTCAATACCTCTGGCCTAAGCGCTGAAAATCCATTTGACTCTCCCAAAATAAAAGAATAGACTTTTTAATATCCCTACCTACACTGGGAGGAAAAAAGGGAAACAAAAATTTAACACACACAATGTAACAAAGAAATATTTTACTTTTCCTGTAAGTCACCTCTCTCTGGCATCTTTGGAAATATTTTCTACTGTGTTTCCAGTTGTAGTGATTAAATAAATTTTTACTCACTGAAAACCTAAGACTAAAATAAAGTTGGTAAATGTTTTAAGGTAACAAACTCAGAGAGAGGCAGTGCTGATCTAAAACACTCAGAGAAATTATACAAGAGGAACCTCTACCCAAAGGACTTCCCATAGGATGTCTGTGCCCAGGGAAGATCCTGGAAAGAGAGGTACAAAGATTTTATGCAAACTAGTTCCAGGTGGTTATTAGCTACTGCTCTCTCATGTAAAGTATCCACACGCACAAACCTTTTAAAAAAGTCACTCACTGACTGTGAGAAAATAATAAACAATTAAAATATTGACTCTATTTTATTTAAAAGAAGACAAGAGGCCGACAATGGACTTGTGCTAAGTCACATGACCATAGCCAAAATTTAATACAGTCATATAACTGAGCCATGTAACAACATATGGCCAACAACAGACCACATATAGGATGGTGGTCCCATAAGATTATAATGGATTTCAAAAACTCCTATCACCCAGTGATGTCATACCCATCATATCATAGGGCAATGCATTACTCAGATATTTATAGTGATGCTGGTGTAAAAAAGCTTACTCTGCTGTAGGGCTAGAAAAGTATAGCATATACAGTTATGTACAGTACATAATACTTGATGATAATAAAAGAGCATGTTACTGGTTTACGTATTTATAATACTATACTTCAGGGGTGTCCAACTTTTTGGTGTGTCTGGGCCACCCTAGAAGTAGAAGAGTTGTCTTGGGCCACATATTAAATACATAAACACTAATGAAACTGATGAGAGAAAAAAAAAGGTTTTAAGTAAATTTATAATTTTGTGTTGGACTACATTCAAAGCCAGCCTGGGCCTCGTGAGGGCTGCAGGCTGGACACTTTTTCCCTTTATTTTAAAGTGTACTCTTTCTACTTATTAAACATTTCTTTGGAAAACAGTATGCTGTTTTACGTAGGCAGCAGCCTCACAGATCTTGTGTTCACTGTGTCTTTTTCTTTTAATTTCAATTTTTAAAATTATATTTATTTATTTATTTATTTATTTTTAGAGAGGGAAAGGGAGAGAGGGAAATATCAATGCGTGGTTGCCTCTCATGCGACCCCTACTGGAGACCTGGCCTGCAACCCAGGCATGTGCCCTGACTGGGAATCAAACTAGTGACCCTTTGGTTCGCAGGCCAGCACTCAATTCATTAAGCCACACCAGCCAGGGCTAATTTTAATTAAAATTTATATTTTAATCGTAATTTATTTATTTTATTTTTGCATAATACTTTATTGATTATTATAGTTGTGCTGGTTTTCCCCATTTACCCCTCTCTACCTAGTGCCCCCTACTCCCTCAGGCAATCCCTCTGTCCCCACTGTTCATGTCCATGGGTCATGCATATGACCCATGGCTGCTCCCTTTCCTATACTGTACTTCACATCCCCATGGCTATTCTATAACTACTTATTTGTACTTCTCAATCTCCTCACCTCTTTACCCATTTGCCCACACCCGCTTCCCATCTGGCAACCTTCTGGTAACTAACTTCTCTTGCTTTTAGGAGTCTCTCTTTATCTTTAACCTTTGGCACTTTAATTATGATGTGTCTTGCAGTATTCCTCTTTGCATCCATCATAATTGGGACTCTGTGCTTCCTGGACTTGCATATCTATTTCCTTTGCCAAATTAGGGAAGTTTTCTTTTACTATTTTTTTGTATGGATTTCCAATTTCTTGCTCTTTCTCTTCTCCTTCTTGTTCCCCTAGGATGTGAATGTTGGACCTCTTGAAGTTGTCCCAGAGGCTGTTTATACTACCCTCATTTTTTTGGGGGGGGGGATTCTTTGTTTTCTTCTTTTTGTTCTGCATGGTTGTTTTTTGCTCCCTTGTGTTCCAAATCATTGATTTGATTCTTGGCTTCATCCATTCTACTGTTGTTTCCCTGTAAATTGTTCTTTATTACAATTTTTGTACCCTTCCTTTCTGACTGGATCTTTTTTATGCAATTGAGGTCCTCACTAAGTTTCTTGAGCATCCTTATAAACAGTGCTTTGAACTCTGCATCTGAGAGATTGCTTAACTGTCTCATTTAGCTTTTTCTGGGGTTTTTATCTGTTCTTTCATTTGGGCCATGTGTCTTTGTCTTCTTGTTTTGGCAGCCTCCCTGTGCTTGTTTCTATGTATTAGGTTGAGCTGCTTTGACTCTGTCTTGACAGTGTGGCTTAATGTAGTAGGTGTCCTATAAGGTCCAGTGGCACAGCCTCCCCTATCTCCCAAGCTGGGTACTCAAGGCATGCCTTCATGTGGGCTGAGTACACCCACCTCCTGTAGTTGAGTTTTGGTTGCTGTTGGTAGATCAATGGGAGATATTTACTCAGGCCAGTCAGCTGCAAGGATTGGCTGTGACCACCAACCTGTACTCTCCATGGAGAATCTGCTGTGCAGAGGCAGGGTAGTGGTCTATAGCTCTCCATCGAGTGTGTTTGCCCTGGAGTTTTCTCAGTGGTGCAGGCCAAGGTCGGCCCCCACCTATATTTTGCCTGGGGCACCCTGTCTGAGCTGTAAAGCAATCTGAGATGGCTACTACTTGTGCTAGTCTTGGGGATTCCCAGGTGAAGCCAAACTGTGATTCTAATCTGGCTGCCGCTAGGGTTTACTGAAGCCAGCTATTGTTTGATAGACTTTAGGAGCCCAAACCAGCCATTCCTATGGAAAAACAACTTGGGTGGGCCCATAAATTGGGTGGGGTAGAGCCTCTATGGATCTCCAAGGTGGGTCACACAGTGCTAGCCAGGTTGATGGAATCTCAGATATGGCATCAGCCTACCAGCTTTGCAGGGAGAGGGCACAGCAAAGGGACAATGGCCTGTGCTCGCCCCAATGCCAGACACACTTCAGTCTCTTGCACTGGTGCCCTTCAAGCTGCCAGCCTGGTGCTGGAGCTCAGAGGGAGAGAGTCGTAGTAGATGAGTCCATGTGTGGGTTCCCTAAAAGGAACTGCTTAGGGCTCCAGCAGCCTCCTCCACCCACTCAACCCCCACTGGTTTTCACAGCCAGAAGTTGTGAGGACTTATCTTCCTGGCACTGGAATCCTGGGCTATGTATCCTGGTGTGGGACCTCTCGCCCTCGAGATATCCTTCCTGAATTTTTACCCACATGGGTGTGGGGCCAGCTTGTCCCACCTCTGTGCCCCTCCTACCAGTCTGGATGGATGTGATTTCCTCAATTCTGTAATTGTCAGACTTCAATTCAACTAGATTTTGTAGTTGTCAGACATCCATTCAACTCCACTTTTGACATTCCTGAGTGATGGCTGTTCTATATTTTAGTTGTAATTTTGATGTGGTTGTGTGAAGAGGCAAGCCATGTCTGCCTATGTTGCCATCTTGACCAGAAGCCTGCTGTGCCTATTGACTGTATCATTTTCTCCTGTGCTTGATTTAATCTGTTGTTTTTATAAGTTTAGTGGCCTAAGCGTACAGTGTTATAAAGTCTACAGTAGTGTACAGTAATGTCTTTGGACTTCATACTCACTCACCAATCACTGACTCAGGCAGAGCAACCTCCAGTCCTGCAAGCTCCATTTATTGCAGTGCCCTATAAAGGAGTAGCATTTTTTTTACTTTGTACACTATATTTTTACTCTACCTTTTGTATGTTTAGACTCACAAATACATACTCCTGCCTACAGTATTCAGTACACTAACATGTTGTATAGGTTTGTAGCCTAGGGATAATAGGCTATACCATACAACCTAGGGGTGTATTAGGCTACACCATGGTATTTTTGATATTTTATTTTTTATTGATTTTAGAGAGACGAAGGTGTAGGGAGAGAGAGAGGCAGAGACAGAGAGAAACACTGTTGCCCCCCTTATTTATGCAGTCATTGGTTGCTTCTTGTATGTACCCTGACCAGGGACGAACCTGCAACCTTGATCAACCTTGATCAGGATGATGCTCTAATCAACTGAGCACTGGGTCAGGGCTACACGATGTGAGTTTGTGTACCTGAACTCAAAACAACAAAATTGCCTAAGGATGTACTTTCCAGGTTAAGGGGTGTATGACTATTTCATTGCAGTTTCAGCCTCTCCCAGGAATAAAATTTTAAACCAACCAGCCTGGAATTTCCTGATCGACACTAACTTGCATAGTAAGACTCTTGCTGTTCCTTCTCCTAAGGAAAGGTGATCTTGCCTCAAACAATCTTTTCCTCTTTTCCTAATAACCTCTTCAATTGCATTTCTGCCTATAAAAGCCTTCCATTTTATGCAGTTCCTGGGAGATTCTATTTACTAGATAGGATGCTACTCCATTCATGAATGGAGAATAAAGCCGATTATTTCTTCAAATTTACTCAGTTGAATTTTTTTTTTAACAGTTTGAAATGCACAACAAAAACGAATAGTTCATAACGGTCCGGTAAATCAAAGAGGCAAGATGGCGTCTGGGAATTCAGGGGAGAGATTGGAAATGCGGGCATTTGTCGCACAACTAGGCCTGGGGGACAGGTGGTGGATTTGAGACCCTGCTCCACGAACATGAAAACTCAGGAGAAAACCGGTTCTCTCGGGAAGAAAGGAGTGATAAGGAACCCCACGAGACCACAGCTCCGTCCATGCACAAACCCCGGAAACCGAGTCAATACTGTCCCTAATAAACCTCCACATGGACACCGCACCAACTGGGGATACACGGCAATGCGGGTGCAGTGCTGTTCTGAGACGCTCCGGGGACGTAGTCGCTGTGAGTAGGGACAGATCAGGTGCCCGGAGTCAGGGCTGCCGGCCCAGCGCCCACACTGCGAGCCCGAGGGGGCTGAGGTTGGAGCCCAGTCCCCAAGGGACTTGGATACCCAGACTCCAGACCTGCCGCGGAGACCATCCCGCCACGGCAATTTGACCAGCCCCTCCTCCCGGGACCTGCACCCGACCGCACACTCACCATTTCCACGTTTTCTGAGTCTCCCTGAGTCCTTCCGACAAGTCCCACAATCAGTACATATCACAGCTCGACAAACGAAGGCAGAGACACGTGGAGCTTTCAGTGCAAGAGAGGTGCGACCCCCAACTCCGAGGGCGGGGCGAACGAGCCAGCAGTACTTCCGGGTGACTGGGAAGGGCAGCCCTGCCCACCTGCCCCCAAGGCTCTAGATCTGAAGGACAGTTCCCAAGGCAACGCCCCGGGTGCCTGAGTTACAGTCGCCGCAGCCCAAAACAGCCAGCACTCATCCCGTGCAGGGACATTTGCACTGAAAACATACTGCTGAAAGTCCACCAGGCAACTGGGATCCTTCCTTGCAAACACAGACACTAAAAGGCACCTCACTGCATGCAACAGTTAATATGGCCCCATTTCGGTGGTTTTGCCAAAAAGATGCACAGGTTCAGACACCAGGGATGCAATCCGTGGGGATCTTTCCAGAACGTCAGTCAGATTCCGGAAAAGTGCCTTGAAATCAAGAACAAGCCATCATTTCTGTGGGGGAAAATGTCTTTAGGTGTTTACGAAGTGTTTCTGACATGAAAAAGTTTCTGACTTGAAAATAAAAAGCCATTGAAAATACAAGCAGGTGGTTGTTTTCTCAGTGGTGATTCAAGCACTCTCCTAGGTCCTGAGCCACCTCTTACTTGCAGTTACAGTATTTAATTCCTAAATAATGAAACTTACCAGAAAACTGGGTTTTGTCTAAATAGTAATCCCCGATAGGTGAGTCTGTGATGTTGTTAGCATAATGTTCTCTCTGACAACGATGGCATCCCCCACCAGGCACCCTCTCCTTATGGTGGTCACAGATACCGTTTCCAACCATCTCCTCTCCATTCCCCCAGGAATGCTCGTCCTTAGTATTCTCAGAGACAAATAGCCCCACCCAAGTCCACCCAAACTGCAGCAATAACTCGTCATGCCTGGGGACACAGAAGAAACCCTGGAGGCCATCGGACACGTGGAGCCCGAGGGACAGAGCCAGAGCCACGGGTGAGCTCCGTGGAGAGAGACAAGGAGGGCTCGGGTTGCAACCAGGACTCATCACACCAGGTGGACCGCCGCGAGAACAGCAGCATCACTGTGTGTCGCCCTACAGAGTGGGAAGGAAAGTCTGTGGATATTCGGCATAAAGAATTGAGAAACGGAGAAGAGATTTCTGTTTCATACTCTTTTCTTCGTCCTCCTTTTAACAGCTCTCAGGAAAACAATCTCCTCGAAACAGTTTTCCTGGAAATTAGTCTGATTTTCTAATGCCCAATATACCTCTGGGTTTTTCGTTTTGCTTTGTTTTGTTTTATCTCCTAACTCTTCATCTTCCCTAATAAAGGACCTTCTGAACTAGGAATGTGTGTTCACTGGGGAAGATGAGCAAGTGTGGTCTCCTCTCTCACACTGTTGAACTTCAGAAACAGGATGCTGAGGAAATCGCCTTTCATCCCTGCCCCTCCACATCCCACTTTTACTTGCACCTGTGGGAACTGAACGGTCCAGCAGCGGCCCTCCCTGGGCAGAAAATGCTGATGTGCTTCCTGCACTAATGGCCGTGAATCCTTCTGCTTGTCAAAGGTTATTTTTTTTAAGATTTTATTTATTTATTTTTAGAGAGGAAAGGGAGAGAGAGAGAGAGAGAGAGAGAGAGAAACACCAATGTGCGGTTGCTGGGGACCATGGCCTGCAACCCAGGTATGTGGCCTGACTGGGAATTGAACCTGCGACACTTTGGTTCACAGCCCCCACTCAATCCACTGAGCTACGCCAACCAGGTTGTCACAGGTTCTTTAGCAACATTAGAAATCTTGCTTTCCCGTGCTGTCCTCAGATTGGCTCAAATAAACGCTGATAAAAATTCTCAAAAAGAAGTCCTTCAGTCACTATGGTCATCATTGTCGACGTGATATCTTCAAACTGTGTTTGGTAAGAGGAGGTGGTTCCTGTGATTTTCATCATGGGAATACAAGGGCCAGAAGATACTTTGGGTGTTGGTGCATCCACCTGCACCACAGAAAACCCATGAGAGCTCAGGACGTCCTGCAAGATGGTCCTCTCAGGCAAAGCGCTCCACTGAAGGAGCTCAGGGAGTCCTCTGAATGCATGGAGAGGGAGACCTTTGCCTCATGATCTTGGAAAGTGACTGTAATGGAATAAATTACCCAAAGTTCTGGAAGGTGCTCTTGGCTCTGAAAAAGAATAAGGAAGAAACTGATCTTTTCTGTGGTTCAGAGCATGAACTAACTGTAAGTGGCAAAGCATCAAGATTTATGTTTGTACTTAAAAATACTTTTTTTGTCATGGTCTGCTAAAATATTAACATGAAGCTTGAGGTAATGGTGGGAGAAAAAATCAACCAAATTCTTCTATCTTGTGGGGAAGGCATGAATTACCATAAATAATCATCTCAGCATTTATGTTAAAGATTTGGAAGTATGGAAAATAAGCACCCATAATGAAAACAAGACAGTCATCAAGGAACTTTATTAAAAGTGTTACTTCTCAGTCATTTTACAGGTCAGTTTCTCACATTTCAAAATCTCTAAGTAACGTAGAATGTTGTAGATTCCATTGAGAGAAGTTCTGTTTTTAAGTGTAAAATGATAATGACAACGAGAAAGGAACAGTAATTCTTACAGTAATTCAAACCACTTTAGAAAGGCCTAGTAACTGGAAGGCACTCAGCACCATGTGTGGATTGGCTCATTTGTTTTCATCGGCTCAGACTTCTAATCATGGAAGCACTACTATGCTCTCATCTGCTGACCGAGGCAACTGACACTGGGGGGAGCTACATGGATTGTGTCACTTCACAGCAGCAGGCAGTAGGGCACTCAGATTCATCACCAGGACTCGAAAGTCAAGCACTGCCACGCAGCCCAATTCACCTTTTATTATGAAATTAAGACAAATGGTTCATTGATAAGGTCAGACTCCTTTGTGTGAAGCAGAAAAAGTTTATTCCTCACAAGCCCTTATTAAGATCCACACTATAGAATAGATTTCCTTGGGCCTTGGTTGAAATCTGAAGTGGGTTCCACAGAATTTTTTGTCCCTTTTTGGTGCTGAAATCCCGTGGTCACTTCAAGCACAGTGACAGCCAGGGCAGTCCAGCATTCATAGAAGGCACTTGGGAGCAGAGCTTTTGTTTGTAAGATGGAAATAAGGACTTTGAAGGCAAGTTAAAAATGACATGTGACATAACAGCGAGGCTCCAGTGTGTACACATCTTTTTTCAGAGTGCACCATCCCAAGTGTGTTCAGAACGAGCCACCGCAAGTTGTGCCGCAGTCGGATGCAGGTTATTTTGAGCTAAAGACAATTTTATCAACAGGCTGAAGGGAAGCTTCTGCCCCTCCCTTTAGCTACCCAGAAGAACTTGAATTAGGGGCCTTGGCCATAATAAAAGATTATCAGCAATAACCTCTTTTTGATCCACCTCTACATAGAGCTTATTACCAGGGCAAATTTCTATTTACTAAACATCTGCTCTTCTTATCACCCTGCAAAGACCCTTTGAAGACCCCAAGGTGCATGACCTCATCCCTAGCTCAGGGTGTCTCATACACCTGGATCCCTTTTTATCACTGAAACTGTGCTGGGTGTGGGTGTAGGGTCTGTGCTGTAGAGTAAACTCAGGAGGGGCTAGAGCAGAGGGGAAGAAGGTAACTCTCCAATTGGGAGGACTCCATGGTTTGTGTCACTCAGTGGGTAGAGCAGCAAAATGAAAATGCAAAATACTTCAATGTTTGCAAATTTGAAGATGAATGAAAACTCCTCTCAAACAATGTTAAACGTAAAAGCACACCACAAATACCTGTGATTCAAATCAATACAAAGCCTCGAGCCCCAGATAACAATGTCCTAAGTCACAACCACATATTGCATATACAAAATTTGCAATGATGGCAAAAGTGATGAGGAACCATGTCTATATCTTTATTGGGAATCACTATTGTTTATCAAAGAGCAGGACATTGAGTATTGCCACCTTCTACTTACTTTCACACCCTCGTGTTTCCTGAAACAGTGTTTACCATTTTTCACCTTGCGGAAATACAAGTTCTTAATGATGACATCCTTACTCACAAGGCTATACCGTCATGTAAGGATATATTCACCCCCGACTCCCTACTATGTCACATGTCATTTTTCACTTTCCTCCAAAGCTCTTATCACCATATCACAAAACAAAGCTTTACAGTGTGCTATTCACCTCTCTATTCTCACAGAAGTATAAGCTCCAGGATTGAAAGAACTCATTTGTTTCATGCCTCACATCCAAATCCCAGTGTCTTATTTGTGCTGAATCGGGTGTGTTGACCCCAAGTGGGTGACATAACAAGGGACGTTGAAACATTAGCATCGAGTATAGTCTTTCACCAAGGAAGTCCTGATTGGACCCTTTCTCCCTTGCTAGAATTGCGTACCCTCAAAATTTACCTAAACTTACAGGCTTCTTCTTACTAATGAGTGACTGGGGCTTCTTACAGAATAAGCTTAGCTCCACTACGTTGGTTTTGTCTTCTAGAAAACAATCAGGTTACCACTGCACACGTTCAATACACAGAAACAGCTTGACGACTTCCATAGTCATCATGTCATCTAGCACAAGTCAAACTCCCATAACAGTTCCGAGCAACCTTTCATGTCATGCCCCTCGGTCAGGTGACCACTTTGTGGTCACAGTCGTTATTGGAATTCGTTACTCTATTGGCTACAGGTACGATTTGAGATTTGCAGGTCACTGGCAAGAAGGCACTGAAAAACCATGATTGAAATTTTTGGTTACTAAGAATCAATGAGACTTTCATAACAAAAGTTATAACTGTAAAAGAATAAAGAGTAAAGTATGCCTGGGGGAAAATTACGTGAACCTGACTGCACAGGATAAAATTGACTCAAGGTACAATCATTAAATGAGGAGAACCACAGATATCCACAAGGGGACATTTTCGTATATCCTCTCAGGAAATGAAAAACAATTCTTTGGTGGCATACAACAGCTTAGAAAATGGTTGATAAAATACTTCTATGAAACAACTACAGAAGCATTATTCTGACCAAAAAGAGCACATACTTTTGGTCACATACAATCCAACATAACTGAAAACACACTGAGGGATTACACGCAGCTACAAGGAACAGGAAACACGCACAGCCTCCCCACAGGAGGGAGGTGCTGGATCTCACATGGAGGGGCGGGTCGAGGCAGCCACTGCACACGCAGCAGAGGCAGCAACACTCACATGGTGAGTCGGGAAAGCCCACTGGACAGCACTGTTCACAGCATAAGGTGTTCCCCATACAGATTAGATCTTATGTGGATGTAATCGTGAGAAGAGGGAATCAGACAGGAGTGTGAAGTCTGACTCAGTTTTCTGGTGGACACAAGAGGGCTTACAGAAAAATCCAGACTCTGAGGGATCTTTCATGTGGATCTTGAGAAAACATCAGTGGAAATCTGCACCTCCATGAAGGTGTCAATTAAATATTTGGTGGTAGATATGCCACCACCATGATTTTTTCTTATATATGAATATAATCAAAAGTAGAAAATAAGTACTCTGAGAAGCGCAAAACATTTTTTAAAATTTACTAAAGATCTACAAGTATGAAATAACAAATGTTGGTGAGAATGTGGAAAAAACAAAATCCTTCTGCACTGTTGGTGGGAATGTAAATTGGTGCAGCTACTATGGAAAAAGGTATGGACATTATTCAAAAAATTAAGAATAGAGCTACCAACCCTAGTTGGTATGTCTCAGTGGGTTGAGCACCTGCCTGTGAACTGAAACGTCACTGGTTTGATTCCCAGTCAGCGCACATGCCTGGGTTGTGGGCCAGGTCCCCAGTAGGGAGTGCACAAGAGGCAACCACACATTGATGTTTCTCTCCCTCTTTCTCCCTCCCTTCCCCTCACTCTAAAAATAAATAACAATGTTAAAAAAAAAAAGAATAGAGCTACCGTAAGATTTAGCAATTCCACTTTTGGATATTTATTCAAAGAAAATGAGAACTCAGAATGATATATGTGTCCCTATGTTCACTACAGCATTATTTACAATAGCCAAGATATGGAAACAAGCTAAGTGTGCCTAGATGGATGAATAGATAAGGAAGATGTGGTTGCTAGCCAGTAGCTCACATGGTTAGAGCACAAAGTTGTAGATTCAATCCCTGGGCATGACATATACAAGAATCAAGCAATGGCCCTAGCTGGTGTAGCTCAGTGGATTGAGCACAGGCCGGCAAACCAAAAGGTTGCTGGTTCGATTCCCAGTTAGGGCACATGCCTGCATTGCAGGCCAGGTCCCCAGTGGGTGGTTTATGGGAGGCAGCCACACATTGATGTTTCTCTCCCTCTCTTTCTCCTTCCCTTCCCCTCTCTCTAAAAATAAATAAATAAAATCTTAAAAAAGAAAAAGAATCAAGCAGTGAATGAATAAATAAGTGAAACAATAAATCAACATTTTCTTCTCTCTCTCCCCCCTTCCTCTTTCTCTGAGCAATCAATTTTAAAAATGGGATACTTTTATGCACAAAGGAAAAGTATTCAGCTATTAGATGGACTGAAATCTTGCCATTTGTGACACCATGCATGGATCTGAGGCCTTACACTAAGTGAAAGAGAAAAAAAATACCTCATACTCTCTCCCTTATAGGTGGAAACTTTAAAAATACAAACAAAAACAAAGCTCATGGATACCTAGAACAGACTGGTGGTTGCCGCAGTCTGGTGGTGAGAAGAAATAGGTAAAGAGGATCAAAAGTTAAAAAAAAATCATGGGAGTTGGACAAAAATTGCATCATTATAAATAATCACATAGTGACACCAAAAAATGATTCCATACTTTTATGTATTGCAAATTATGCATCATTTCTATGGGTGGTCATTGTATGCAAAGGGATATCAGTTATAGAACTGCAAGAATATTGAAGATATGTGGGGGGAAACTCTCTTCTTGTCACATTTTCCCTGAAATTAATTTCTAGTAATAATAACCATTAAACGTTTTTATTGCCAAAATTTGATTTGCATTTTTGGAAATTCGAAGGATTGTAGTGCCTCGCAGTCTTACTTTCAACACAAAAGTCTCGCCGTGGAAGAGTTCCCACTGGCCTTCTCCAAAGACCTGTCCGGCGGTCACTCAGGCGCGAAAGAACAGGCCTTTCGAACTGTCCAATCAGGGGTAGCCCGAGGGCAGGTGGGTGGGGCGACGGCCCTCCACTCGCCCGGACGTCCTGCTTGCTCCGGTCATCCTAGAGCGCTGGGTCAGCAGCCTTCAAAGGCCCCAGGTTTCTTTGGCGCAGGCTCTATCGCGTTGGGACCTGTACCGTTACCAGGAATCGTAGGGAGGACGCCAAGGGACCCAGGAAACCTAAAAATGGTGAGCGTGCGGGGCCGGGGTGCGGAGACTGGGGCGAGGTGCTGCTTATAACCAGCTTTAGCGGGACCCATTCTCGCCAAGGTCAAGTCCAGGTTCCGCGAAGCTGTCTCTCGAACCTCTGTCCCCTCCTGCACACAGCATGGGGGCGCTGGGCCAGCAGCCCGACCGTGGGTGTCTTGTCCCGTCACTGCGCGGTGATTTCAGCCCCGGCGCCTTCTAGGCAGCTCTGCCCCTGCAGCCCAGGGTCGCCCACGAGGAGGGTCATCAGAGAACAATCGTGACATTTATTCGGGTCCGTGCGTGGGAGGAACTGATCTGCGGGGTTCCCAGTACCTCCTTTCCCCCCAGGGGGCGCCCATTTTCTCCTGCGTTTTCCAAATGTTTGGGAAGCCGGGTCTCAAATCCACAACCCTACTCCCACCCCAGTATCTCCCTAAGAGGGGCAGTAACTCTAAATTTCCAAATCCCTTCCCGAATTTACAAACGTCAACTTCCCCTCTCCAATTCAAGCATCAAAATCAACTATTCGTCTTCCTAAGTGCATTTCAAGCAGACCCATATTTTAAAGCAAATACTCACTTGTAACTACGTCCTATAAAATACTTGTACTGGATCCCCCAGGATTGTTCCTGAGAAAAGACATCCTATGGGAAGGAAGGCCTTTGGATGTCTGGGTAGATTCCTCTTGGCAAACTTTCTTGGGCGATCTGTCCTGTCAGCGGTGACCCTCTGGATTTGTCACCTTTAAAAGATATCTTTATTTATGGATTGTTCAAACACTGGGTTTGTACCCTTTAAAATATTGGTGGTTGCCCTAAAGCTATTCCATTGGGGAGTAGAGGCCTGTGGTCAGTGAACAGCGAGGCCCCCCTGGGCCTGCACAGGGAAGTACTTGAAGGCCCAGTTATTCTTCTTGGGGAGCCTCCCTCTGCAGTTGTCCTACCTGCTCACACCCCCCATGAAAGGAGCCTGTACACTGCGAAGCTAGAGCCCTGGAAAACTGGGGGTGCATGTGCACATAGGGGAGGGGGTGATACTCTTTCTGAAAGTTTAGTTGTGGCTCCCCAGGGCCTGTTTCTAGACATAGGGTGGAGTTTGCATCCACAGTGTGGGTGCATTCAGTGTAATTCGTGCACATTGAGAAAGTCTGTGAAAGTCAGGAGTCTGTGACCTTGGATAGGGTCTGTGAACGTGGAGTTTATTTGGGTCAGAAACTGACACTAAATCCAATGAAGTGTTTCCTCACTGTGAGCTGAAGCCCAAGACAGGGGAGTGTTTCCATTATTCCCTGGGGAGAGGAGGGTGTTGGAGCTCCCAGAGTTCACTCCTGGGGCTGCTCAGGTGTCCCTTCTCCTTTGTCTCCAGGCACTGTCCCATTCAGGGGTTCTGTCTCAATCTGAAGAGTCTAGAATGTAGAACCTTCTGAAAGGGGCTCTCCTTCTCTCCTGTGGGAAGCAGGCAGCTCATCTGAGATGCTTTCAATACTGCGTTTCTTTCCTTTGGATCCTTTATCCACTGAATAGTGTAGCCTTTGGCTCCAGTTTCCCTGAGCACTTGGGCTCTGAAACTGTAATATGATAGAGAAGCATGAGGTGAGGAAAGCAAGAAAATTGTGAAAATAGAGGGTTTTTTTCCATTTAGGCAAAAGAACTTCAAGATTTGAGGTGAATGTACTTAAATTCTCATGCATGTTTTTCTGTCTCACATCAGTTTTTTTTTTAATTAATTTATTTATTTATTTTTAGAAGAGGAGAAGGGAGGGAGAAAGATAGGGAGAGAAACATGAATGTGTGGTTGTCTCTCACACACCTCCAACTGGGGACCTGGCCCACAACCCAGGCATGTGCCCTGAGGAAATCGAACCTGTGACCCTTTGGTTCACAGACCGGCACCCAACTGAGCCACTCCAGCCAGGGCTCACATCAGTTTTTATATATGTGTGTCCCTAAAGAACTTTAAAAAAGACAAAAGCAATTGAATTTCTATTTTAATTGATGTGAGGAAAACTACTGAAAGCTCACGCAAATCTTTAAAATCCTACTACGTATAGGAGCTAAACCCAAACCTTAATGCATTTATAATATGCTACTTAGTTCTAGAAATACCCCTGGTGTGAAATATAGGGGAAGAACAAACTGTAATACCACATATTTTTTAGTTGGCTAGAGACTTGAAAATTTTTATTTTGCATTTTGTAACTGTTAGTGCATAAAGACATTAAGTGATTTCTGAAGGTTTTCTGACAGTCTGTGGCTTGTATTTTCATTCTCTTAATACAGTGTTTTACTGAGCAGGAGTTTTTCATTTTATTGTAGTCAAACTAATAATTTTTTTCTATCTTGGATCTCGCTTTTGTTGTTGTATCTTAACATTAATCACCAAACCACAGTCATCTAGATTTTCTCTTATGTTATCTTCTAAAGTTTTGTAGTCGGACATTTTTTACTAAATCTATGACCCATTTTGAGTTCATTTTTGTGAAAGATGCAAAATCTGTTTATAGGGGTTTTGTTGTTGTTTTGGGGGAATTTTTTGCTTATAGGTGTCCAGTTTTTCTTGCACTGTTTGTTGTAAAGACTATGTGTTCCCATTGAATCGCCTTCAGTTCTTTGTCAAAGATCAGTTCATTGTATTTGTGGAGATCTACAGAAAGCAATAATTGCCTTTCGGGTATTAACCTTTTATCTTCAACCTTTTTCTTCTCTTATTAGTTCAAGAGGTTTTCTTATTTAGGGTTTTTTGAGAATTTTTCCTTAGACAGTCTTTTTTTTTTTTTTTATCCTCACCCAAGGAGGTATTCATTGACTTCAGAGAGAGAGGAAGGGAGAGAGAGAAACATCAGCTGGCTGCCTCTCATATGTGCCCTGACTGAGGATCAAACCCAAAACCCAAGCATGTGCCTTGACTGGGAATCAAACCCACAACCCTGGTTTATGGGACAATGCTCCAACCAACTGAGCCACCTGACCAGGGCCTTAAACAGTTTTGCCATATGCCACAAAGACAGTTTTATCTCTTGCTTCCCAATTTGTATACCTTTTATTTCCTTTTCTTGTTTAAGTGCATTAGCTAAGAATTCTAGTACAAGGTTGACTAGGAGTGATGAGAGGGGACATTTTGCTTTCTTCTTTATGTTACTGGAAAACATCTAGTTCTTTTAATGTACTCTTTCTGTGTGTGTGTGTGTGTATGTGTGTGTGTATAACATGTTATCTAGTTATATACTAATATATTTATGTTATATGCATATACTATATGTCTGTGTGTGTGTATAATTTTTATAGAGAAGGGTTAGGTCTTCAAAGGCCTGGACTGATACATTGACCAGATAGTACTCTGTCTTGAGACACTGAGTAGTCACTGAAAGGTTTGACCAGGGAAATAACATGATCATAATATGGTTTTAGAGAAATCATCCCTTTAAGGAAAGATAAATGCTTTCATAGGGAGTGGGAAAGTAAGAGGAGGACCAGTTGGTAGCCTCTGCAATCTAGAGAGAGTAATAACGGCCTTAATAACTGAGCCATCTTGGCTTTTTTAAATCACAGTGCCCTACCCACTTCTCTTTTGGCAACCATCAGCTTATTCTTTATCGATCTGTTTTTATTTTGTTTTGATTTGTTTTTTTGTGTTATTTTTTTAAGATTCCACATATAAGTGAAATCATATGGTGTTTGTCTTTTTCAGTCTGATATATTTCACTTAGCATAATGCCCTCCGGGTCTATCCATGCTCAAATGGCAGGATTTTTTTTCTTTTTTTAAAAAATTAATTTATTATTTATTTTTTAGAGAGGGAAGGGAAGGAGAAAGAGAGAGAGAGAAACATCAATGTGCAGTTGCTGGGGGTCATGGCCTGCAACCCAGGCATGTACCCTGACTGGGAATCGAACCTGCGACACTTTGGTTCACAGCCCATGCTCAATCCACTGAGCTATGCCAGCCAGGGCAATAATTCTTTTTTTAAAGATTTTTATTTATTTATTTTTAGAGAGGGAAGGGAGGGAGGGAGAGAGAGAGAGTGAGAGAGAGAGAGAAACATCAATGTGTGGTTGCTGGGGGCCGTGGCCTGCAACCCAGGTATGTGCCCTGACTGGGAATCAAACCTGCAGTGCTTTGGTTCACAGCCCACGCTCAATCCACTGAGCTATACCAGCCAGGGTAAATGGTATGATTTTATTTTATTTTTATTGCAGGATTTGATTTTATTTTTATTGCTGAATGACATTCCTGTGTGTGTGTGTGTGTGTGTGTGTGTGTGTGTGTGTAGCAATTACATGTCTTTATCCATCCATGTACTGATAGACATCAAGGTTACTGCCATACCTTGGTTATTACTAGTAATGCTGCAATGAACATAAGGGTGTGTATATCTTTTCAAAATAGTGTTTTGGATTTTTTCAATTAATACACAGCAGTGGAATTGCTAGGTCAAGAGGTAGTTATATTTTTAATTTTTTGAGGAGCCTCCCACTGTTTTCCATAGTGGCTACACCAATTTATAATCCCACCAACACTGCTCAAGGGTTACCTTTTGTCCACATTCTCACCAACACTTGTTGCTTGTTAATTTATTGATTATAGCCATTCTGACAAGTGTGAGGTGATATTTCATTGCAGTTTTAATTTGCATTTCTCTGATGATTAGTGATACTGAGCATCTTTTCATGTCTGTTGGCCATCTTTGTGTCCTTCTTAGAGAAATGGAGTCCTCTGTCCATATTTTAACTGGATTTTTTGGAAGGGTTTTGGTGTTAAGTTTTATGAGTTTTTTCAATATATTTTAGATATTAATCCCTTATTGGATGTATCACCTGTGGATATCCTCTCCCCTTTAGCAAATTGTCTTTTTGTTTTGTTGATGGTTCCCTTCACTGTGTTTTGTTTGATGTAGTCTCACTTACTTACTTATTTTTTTGCTGCACATGCCCAAGGAGACATGTCCAAAAATATATTGCTAAGAGCAATGTCAAAGAGTTGACTGCCTATGTTTTCTTCCAGAAATTTTATGGTTTCAGGTCTTATATTTATGTCTTTAATCCATTTTTAGTTTATTTTTGTATAGGTGAGAGAAAGTGGTTTAATTTCATTTGTTTGCGTGTATCTGTCAAATTTTGCCAGCAACACTTACTGAAGAGACTATCTTTATCTTATTGTACACCCTTGCCTCCTTTGCCTCCTTTGTTGTAGATTAATTGACTATATGAGTGAGGACTTATTTGAGGGCTTTCTATTCTATTTCATTGCTCTATATATCTGTTTTTATGCCAGTAAGTACATTGTTTTGATTATTGTAGCTTTGTAGTATAGTTTGATATCAGGGACCATGATACCTCCTGTTGTTTTAAGATTTTGTTGGCTATTTGGGGTCTTTTGTGGTTCCATATAAATATTAAGAGTAGTTCTAATTATAAGAAGAATGTCACTGACATTTTAATAGGGATGCATTGAATCTGTATATTGCTTTAGGTAGTAAGGACATTTTAACAATATTAATCCTTATAATCCATGAGCAAAGTATATCCTTCTATTTATATGTATCTTCTTCAATATTTTTCTTTAATGTCTCATAGTTTTCAGAGTACAGGCCTTTCATCTGTTTAGTCAAATTTATTCCTAGATATTTTATGCTTTTGATGCAATTATAAGTGGAACCTCTTTCTTAATTTCTCATTCTGATAATTTGTTATTGGTGTGTAGAAACACACTAATTTCTGTATATTGATTTGTATTTTGCACCTTTGCTGAATTCATTTATTAGTTCAAATAGTTTTTGTTGTTGTTGAAGTCTTTTTGGTTTTCTATATATAGGATCACGTCATCGGCAAATAATGAGAATTTCACTTCTTCCTTTCCATTTGGGTTAATTTTACTTCTTTTTTTTTTTTTGTCTGATTTCTGTGGCTAGGATTTCCAATACTGTGTTTAATAGAAGTGGTGATATTAGCCATCCTTTTTTTTTCCTAATCTTAATGCAAAAGCTTTCAGCTTTGCACCATTGAGTGTGATATGGGTTGTGGGTTTGTCATAGATAGCCTTTATTCTATTGAGCCATATTTCTTTTATAACCACTTTGTTTAGAGTTTTTATCATGAAAGGATTTTGAATTCTGTCAAATGCTTTTTCTGCATCCATTTTGATGACCATATAGTTTTTTCTTTATTTTGTTAATGTGATGTATCACATTGATTGACTTATGGATGTTGAACTATCCTTACATCCCTGGGATAAATCCTATTTAAGTGATGGTATGTAATCCTTTTAAGGTATTGTTGAATATGGGTTACTAATATTTTGTTGTGAATTTTTACATCCATGTTCATCAAGAATATTGGCATGTCATTTTATTTTTTTGTAATCTCTTTGTCTGGTTTTGGTATCAGGGTAATGCTGGCTTTGTAAAATGAGTTTGGGAACATTCCTTCATCTTCATATTTTTTGAAATATAGTAAGGAGAATATGTATTAATTCTTATCTGAATGTTTGGTAGAATTCACCTGTGAAGCCATCTGGTTGGTTCTAGACTTTTATTTGTTGGGATTTTTTTTATTACTGCTTCAATTTCATTGCTAGTAATTGGTCTGTTTAGAGTTTATATTTCTTCTTGTTTAGGCTATTGTTCATAGTAGTCATCGTCTTTCTGTAGTGTTGGTTGTGACATCTCTTTCAATTATGTTTTCTTTATTTGGCTCTCTCACTTTTTTTCTTGATGAGCTTGGCTAAAGTTTTTAATTTTGTTTATCTTTTCAGAGAACCAGCCCTTAGTTTTACTGATATTTTCCATTGTCTTTAAAACTTCTAGTTCATTTATTTCTGCCCTGATCTTAATTATTTCTTCCTTCTGTTTACTTTGGGTTGTATTTGTTCTTCCTTTGTGCTTCCTTTCAGTGTAGAGCTAGATTATTCTTTCTATTTCCTTTCAATGTAGAGTTTTCTGCTTTCTTTAGGTAGGTCTGTGTAGTTAACAAACTTCCCTCTTAGAACTGCTTTTGCTGCATCCCATAAAGTTTGAAAAGTTGTGTTTTTGTTTGTATTGTTTCAGATAGTTTTTGACATCCTATATTTTCTTTTTGATCTATTGCTTGTTTAGCAGCATGTTGTTTAGTCTCCACATATTTGCGGGCTTTTTTCCAGTCATATGTGAATTTCTTATGAATTGAGTACGGATTCCTAGTGCTGTTCATCTCACCTATTCTCCTGTATACATATTTGGGGTGTTTTAGGACTTGGTGGCCTTTGAGGATGTGAGTGTGAAGTTCACCCTGGAGGAGTGGGCTCTACTGGATTCTTCACAGAAGAAACTCTACAGGGATGTGATGAGGGAAACCTTCAGGAACTTGGCCTCAATAGGTAAGGATGACAACGTTCTCGTTTACTTGCTTAGTCAGTAGAAAACTAATGTTGCTTGCTCCTCAGTGGAGTTCCAAGGAGTGGAATGTGGAAAGGGAATACATTGGTAAATACACCAGACGTGGTCACCGCTCATCATGGACTTATCATGTAACAGTTTTTCTATAAGGTTTTATAGTTTATTATTTTTCCTGGTCTGCATTTTAGGAGAAATATGCAAAGACCGTGACATTGAAGATCACTACAAACATCACGGGACAAATTTAAGGTGAGTCACATTCATGTGAGAGAACAGTGTCCCGTGAATCTGAGTTTGTCATGAAGATTTTTAAACAGCACATAAACCAAATTGGCCAAGTCTTAAATTTATTTATTCTTGCCATATTTTCATCAAAGTTTTTTTCTCACATGTGAATTAGATGTTTAGTGTTTCAAAATTAGTACATTTAGAAATAGTATTTTGAAATCCCATTTATGAATACACTGTTTTGATAATAGCAATGATCAAGCCCTCTTTTTGCAAAGCATTTGGCACTTTCAAACAATCAGAAAGCACTGAAAACTTACACTTCCCTTGGTTATGGTAAAAATATTATTCTAATAACTATTAATGTAAAATTATTAATAAACAAGATATTAACAATATCCTCTTTGCTTTTTACAGCAGTCACATAGTAGAGAGACTGGGTAAAAGTAAACAAGGTAGTCAATGTGGAGAAAACTTCAGTCAGATTCCAAATCACAACCAGAAAAAGAAAACTTCTACTGGAATAAAACTATGTGAATGCAGTGTGTGTGGAATCTTCATGAATCATTCATTCTTTAACAGGCATATGAGATCTCATACTACACCCAAATCATTTGAGTATCTGGAATATGAGGAAAAGCCATATAAATGTAAGGAATGTGGGAAAGCCTTCAAGTATCGCCAATCCTTTCGAAGGCATGAAAGGATTCACACTGGAGTGAAACCCTATCTTTGTAAGCACTGTGATAAAGCCTTCAGTTGCCTCAGTTATTGTCGAACTCATGAACTGTCTCACACAGGAGAGAAACCGTATAAATGTAAGCAGTGTGGCAAAGCTTTCAGTTGTCCCAGTTACTTTAGAAAACATGAAAGAACTCACACTGGAGAGAAACCTTATGAGTGTAAGCAATGTGGTAAAGCCTTCAGCTGCTTTACATCCTTTCAAAGTCATGAAAGGCGGCACAGTGGAGAAAAGCCCTATGAATGTAAAAAATGTGGCAAAGCCTTCAGTTGTCCAAGTTACTTTCGAAAACATAAAAGAATTCATACTGGAGAGAAACCCTATAAATGTCAGCAATGTGGTAAAGGCTTCAGTTGTTCTAGATCCTTTCGAAGTCACGAAAGGAGACACAGTGGAGAAAAGCCCTATAAATGTAAAAAATGCGGTAAAGCCTTCAGTTGTCCAAGTTACTTTCGAAAACATGAGCGGAGTCATACTGGAGAGAAGCTCTATGAATGTAAGGAATGTGGCAAAGCCTTCAGTTGTCCAAGCTACTTTCGAAAACATGAAAGGAATCACACTGGAGAGAAACCCTATGAATGTAAGGAGTGCGGAAAAGCCTTGAGTTCTCTCACCAACTTTCGAAGACACATGATGAAGCACACTGGAGATGGGCCTTACAAGTGCAAGGAGTGTGGGAAAGTCTTTGATTGCCCAAATTACTTTCGGTATCATGAAAGCACACACAGTGGAGAAAAGCCATATGAATGTGTGGAATGTGGTAAATCCTTCAGTACTCCCAGGTCTCTTCAAAATCATGAAAGATCTCATACTAGAAAAAAACCTCATGAATGTAAGGAATGTGGTAAAGCCTTCAGTTTTCCCTGTTCCCTTCAAAAGCATGAAAGAAGTCACACTGGGGAGAAGCCCTACGAATGTAAGCAATGTGGGAAAGCATTCACTTACCTCAGTTCCATTCAAAAACATGAAAGGACTCATAGTGGAGAGAAGCCCTATGAATGTAAGGAATGTGGGAAGGCCTTCATTTCTCTTTCCAATGTTCAAAGACACATGATAAAGCACACTGGAGATGGGCCTTGCAAGTGTAAGGAATGTGGGAAAGCCTTTGATTGTCCTAGCTCACTAAGAACACATGAAAGAACTCACACTGGAGAGAAACCCTATCGATGTAATGATTGTAATAAAGCCTTCAGTCGTCCCAGTTCTTTACGAAATCATGAAAGAACTCATACCTAAGAAAAAAATCTATGAATACTCCAAGGAATGTGAGAGAGACTTTTGTGAAAATGTAAGAATCACACTGGAGAGATACCCTTTGTGTGTAAAGAATGTGTAAAAGCCTTTAGTTTTCTCATTTCCTTGGGAAGCTATACACACAACCTCACAGTGGAGAAAATTCTACTAAATGTAAACAATATAGGAAAACTTTCACATCTCAAATCTCTACCATGTGAGAGTGTATACTGGGTAGAAATTATGTAACTGAAAAATAAGACAATTTTTATTTTATCAAATATTTTCAAAGTAATGTGAAAACTGCATTGGAAATATATAAATTATATTCATGTAATTAATATGGATAGCCTATTGAAAATTAATTCATGTAGGATACTCTAGAAATGTCATGACATGAAAAAAATATTATAAACATACATACATGGTCTTTATTACTGACCTGTTCTTTAAGTAATTTTCTATATTATGGAGTTCTACTTAATTTTGCAAGTAAATACTGAATTGTAGATTTGTGGGTGAATTGAAGTGTATTTCTCACATGCAAGTAGGTTTAATTTTTTATATCATTTTGTAAGTGACCTGTAAGGAAAGGACCATTGGAAAATGACATTTTGGTATTTGTTGGGTTTTTTTTTCTTTCTACTGGCCTCCTATGGCAAGTCTGGATATGTTTTACCCTTTCATATCTCATATATATATATATTCCAGCTTCCTTTCTTAACAGAAAATTACCTTTTCATTTGCCTGAAGAGCTTTATTTTGTTTTCCTTGTAAATAAATGAATTTGTAAGTGTGCACAGTTCATCATAGAATATAGTGTCGTGAATTATTCTCATCTGCTGCCCCTTGTTCTTTATCATTCCTGTGGTTGGGATTTGGGCAGTGAGGTTAGCATGAAGAAGAGAGATCTGTGCTGAGACAAAAAAATCTGGAGTTGGAGATGACACTTCTTGACTGATATAGCAACATGAGTAATATCGTGAACTACAGTTTCTAGAATCTGTTGCTTTTACGTTCTATGTTAGAATTCACCAGAGTCTATCTCACATGAACTTGGAGCACAAAGTGAAATAGGATTATGCAGCCACCTATACAGATAAGACAGACAGATGCATAGGGCCTTTGCTAACACTTGCTTCCAGACCATTTTCTTCATTCTTTGCCCTACCAATCAAGAATATCCTCCTTGATCATAAAAAAGAATGAAATCATATCATTTGCTGTCGAAAATGGGTGGACCTAGAGGGTATTATGCTAAAGGAAATAAGTCAGTCAGAGAAAGACAAATACCATATGATTTTACTTATATGTGGAATCTAAAAAACAAAAGAAACAAAATTAAAACCTTCTAGATATAAAGAATAGACTGATGGTTGCCAGAGGGCAGGGAAATTGGGGGACTGGGTGAAAATGGTGAAGGGACTGAGAAATATAAATTGGTAGTTACAGAATAGGCAGGGGGATGTAAAGTACAGCATAGGAAATGTGGTCAATAATATTGTGGTAATAACTGTACAGTGCCACATGGGCACTGGACATATCAGAGGAACACAATGTAAAGTATATGGTTATATAACCATTGCGCTATACATCTGAATAATATTGAATATAAACTATAGTTGGGGAAAAAGTAGTATCTTCAAAACCACGAGTGGCTGGTTGCCTCACATTTGATTTCAGTTTTTGGCTTCTACAGTTGAAGGTCCAGTGAGTGCAGTTTGGGTTCTGCAAGACTTCGTGTGTCTGCCAGGCAAAAAATGTAGACTCATCATAGAGAATGCTCTCTGAAGACTAACTCTACTCAGCCCTACATTGTATCTGTATAAGGTCTAATTTGTATAGTAAACCCCTTGTTCTGTTGATACCGCTAGTGAGCACGTGTTCCTGATTCCACTCTGACGGCCGCAGTGGTGCGGTCCGAAAGAACCGTGCTGGAGTTTGCTCCGGTGCTGCGTGCTGACTGCCCTGACCCTGTCCTCCCTGTGAGACTTGGCACCTCTCCGATGTCAGGCGCATTCTGGGTGTTTCCTGTTATAGCAGAATGTTAGCTCTCCATATGCTTTTAATTATCTTTGAGCATATATGATTGAACGTATGGGCACTGTTTTCTCCAATGAGTGTTCTGTAGTTTTTTTCTTAGAAATATTATATTAACTAGTTTACAAGTACTTGTAAGCTGAGAAATATTATTGTTTTTTTTATTTCCTGAGAGGATGTATTGCATGTCTCATTGTAATTATATATTTTCAGATCAACCTATCATTTTCTCCATTTAATTATATATATTCTGAATCAAAATTATCATGTGTGTACAAATTTAGATATTTTATCTTATTTTTTTAGAGAAAGGGTAAGGGAAGGAGAGAGAGGGAGAGAAACATCGATCGGTTGCCTCTAGCACACACCTTGACCAGTGACCAAACCCACAACCTAGGCATGTGTCCTGACTGGGAATCAAACCAGCAAATTTCACTTTGCAGGATGACACCCAACCAACTGAGCCACACCAGTAAGGGATAGATAGTTTATCTTAAACATTTTTATTTGTATTCTATTATAGTTAGAATTTTTGTCATGAGACTAGTTTTTTATTCATTCATAATACCAGAAATTTAAATCATATGTTTTTCAGTCCCCTCCTGCCAAAGACACAGGATCACCTCTAGTCAAAAATTGGGGTGTAATGAATTCTAGTAATAATAATGTTCACAAACCACAAACGGCTATTGGGTGTAACAGTAGCAGCAAAGGGATTTCTTATTGGATTTTGACTTGTGTTAAGTGATTTAATTGCTGGTCAAAGAAGCAGGATATTTTTATGGATTGGATACTATGAGGAAGTAAATTTATTCTATCCTGGGTGATCATAAGTGCTTACCTAGGAGGCAGAAAGAATAGCTTGATGCTAAGCCTAATTTGTGAGAAGCACCAATCTGCAATATTAAAACAGGGGATTTTTAGTTATTTTTATTCTTCTTTGGGATCTGTTCTCATTCACCACTTACAGAAAAATGGTTACAAAATGCCTTTGTTTTTGTCTTGATCCATCATGGCCATGGAGTAGCTTTGTCTGGTCGGGGACATGTGTGACATTTTTCTCGTCAACAGGATATAGCTAACCCTTTTAGGGGGCACCAGGCCAGCTCCAGTTCTCTGGAACAGCTTTTGCCTTTCTTGTTATCAAAATACTGAAATATTTCTTGCAGGGTATTCAATCCTTTCCCATAAGTATGTTAATAAAAACAAGAATTTCTAATTACTTCTTTGTAAGGTACTTAAGACTTTTATCATATACCTTGCAAAGTCAGGATGCCTCTTCCAATGAAGCATTTTTTGCTCAGAGGCTATCCTCTTCATGCTTATTTTTCAACATTCCTCATATGCCACGCTGTGTAGATTAAAAATACATAACACAATTATTCCAGGATCTCTAGGGTGTGGATAAATAGGCTTCAAGGAAAGAAGTTCTTGCAGGCACTCCTGGTGTTTACATTTTTGTAGGAAAAGAGATGGTGAAATGAGTAAGCTTTGTTTTCTAAGCAGAAAATAAAGGCATTAAAGAAAAGGAAATGATGATAAGTGACAAAATAGGAAAGTGGGGGTGGCTGTGTATCTCTTTATGGAGTGTCGTCATTAAAGTAATTCAGAAAATCAGTGGCCACAATGGGGAACTTCTAAGATTCCTAAACTTAATTTTCTTAAAACTAAGTGGATAATAATAATGCTAAAATTGGTTACACTGAGAGGAATGCTTATTTAGAATAGTATTTTAAGGTTTCCAAATGACACCAAGAATCTGAAGTTACCCATTTGTGAAATAAAGTCTTGGAATTTGCAGAGGCTACTGAAAATATTAAAAGAGAGAGAATACCTTCTAAGCCACGTCTTCCCCCTCTACAGCATTGTCTCGTCCTTCCCCATTTACTCCACTGTCTCAGGATCTCCTGGTCCCCCCGTACTTCTCTGGAGATTTGCCTTGGGTCTCTCCAGCGTGTACAAGGGCTTCTTGCCCACCTCCCACAGCGTCTTGCCTTCCCCTACCACAGTGGTCCCACCTCTGGCTCCATTTTCTCCTGAATCCTCTCCCACTCTTTCTTCCTCTAAACTTACCAGTACTTTCCCATTTCAAATTAAACCCTTTTTGGATTCTAATAGACCTCAATTGCATAAGCACCCTCAACTGAAGTTGAGTTGCAAGCCATTGTTAAGGAATTTCCTTAGATAACTAAAGATCATCCCAAGTTTTCTGAGGAATTTGATAATTGTTATTCAGACCTGTCAGCCTGGGCTTTCTGGTTTTTATCAGCTATTTTGTATGGTGGTTGGTGGAAGCCAGGCTCAACACTGGATGAAAATTGCCAGGCAGAAACATTCTGAATGGGACTTAGAAAAAAGCAAACCTCCAATTGTTGGGAAGAAGCTAGAAAACTTGCTCAAAAATTACACCAAGCAATTCCTAAGGCTTTCCCAAAGCCCGTTGATTGAAGCAATATTCAGACTTGCTCACCAAAGTCCCGTGAATCCACTCATGACTATTACAATCAACTTCAGGTCCTTTTTAAGGAAAATTCTGGTCTTTCTGCAGATGCTGATCCCATTCAGGTAACTTTTTACTGTCAGTGGGCTGAACAGAGAGATCTTACCCTCAAGGGTAAGAAGACCAGGATGGAATAGGAAACCACCTCCACTCTAGATTGAGTGAATTTGGCCCATTAGCCTGCCCATTCTCTAGATGAGCCACCTGGAAGTAAGATTGCCAAGATTTTTCATCTTTGGCCTTGGCAGAGGAGAGGCCCTAAACCCAAAGACCTCAAACTTGGCCATTATAGCGAAGAGCCAGGACCGTGGGACATGGATTGCCCTAGGTCCCAGTGCTTCAGAGGCTGCCGTCAGTCTTCTAACCCGCCTTCCCAAGGTTCTCCTCGCCCCCATGCCGGGGCCTTTCCCAGTCCCTCTCTTAATCAGCTTGGAGAAACTCCTCTTCAGTTTCCTAGGAAGACTATTTCTATTCCTGTTGACACTGGTGCTACCCTCTCAGTGCTCAGCCCCACTGTCGTAAGACAGCCCCTGCCTCAGAGTAATAAAACAGTTCAAATAGTGGGGATTTCGTATAAACAGGTTCATGTTTCTGAACCTATTCATTTTTGTTTATACCCTTTAAGAGATACATACTGCCCTCTCCTCTTTCCTCTGCCCCACCCATTTATTAGGCCAAGACTTCCTAGAGAAGTATCAGGTTGGAAGATCCTGCTATTGAAAGAGGAAAATAACCTTGTGTTACAGCACCCTGAGTTCTTGCAGTCTCTTAGGATAGAAATCAAGAGATCACCAGAAACCGGAATAGACAAAGGTTTAGTTGTGCAAAAGGGAAGCAGCACTGAAAAGGGAAAGGGAATAGGCTGCTCCCAGAATGCCTTAAGGGAAAGGCTTTTATTGGCAAGGGAGCGGAGAGCTCGTGTGCACTTCCCTTTTTCTGTTGGGTTGCTTGGCAACGATCCCTGTGCCTATGTGGTTGTTCAACTAGGCATACACAGCAGTGATTTTAATGTCTGTCAAGAAGCAAGCAGTTAGAAAGGAGATAAAATTCTGCAAACTTTTTTGTCAAGCAGGGAGTGGAGGGGTGGTAACATTCTTGTGGTGGGCTTACTCAGTGTTTTATCTGGCTATCTGGTGTCCTTGGCATCTGGGCAAGGGGCAGCAGGTCAGTGGCAGCTCTTCAGTTTCCTTACCAGGCACCCTTGGAATCTGAGGTCCCTCAGCTGTCTCACTTAGGACTTGATAGTAACTGTCAGAATGGACAATTAGGTGAATTAAATGGCCTTCCAACATCTTTCATTCTGTTTATGACAGTTCAGCAGCTGAATACGGGAGCATTGTTAAGGGTTGTTCCAGTCAGACCAACTGCCATCTTTTTTATGGAAAAAAAAATTTAACTAACATTGGCAGAATCCACAGTGCATCTCCTATTAAGATTAGCACTGATCCTTTAAAACCTCTTCCCAGAATTAATATCATATAAATAAAGAGGCCCTTCAAGGTATGAAGCCAATAATAGCAGATTACCTAACTTGGGGCCTTATTATCTTTTGCACTAGCCCTTGTAACATTCCCATTTTACCTATGAGAAAAACCCAGAGGATTAGGGTGGACGTTTGTCTGAGATCTCTGAGCAATAAACCACATTGTACCAGAGGCAACCCATCAATGTTTCTCTCTCTCTCTCTTTCTCCCTCCCTTCCCTTCCCTTCTCTCTAAAAATAAGTAAATAAAAATTTAAAAGAAAAGAAAAGAAAAATTGACCAGAGAAGCTCAACAATCAGCTTCAGAGAAAGAAAAACAAGATTGAAAGTCCCACAATTGCTGGTTTGATAAAAACAGAAACCAGACCAAATAACAACCCATTCCTACCCGAAACTGAAATTTTCACACCTGACTACTGCACATGCATCAAACCACAGCCCACCGGCAAAACTACGGTCCACATTAGTATTGGTGGGGAGATATGAACAAGGCTGCAAAAAGCACCAACCTTTATCTCATCTGTCCAAAATGCAACCCTGTTCACTTTAAATGGCTTAAAAGACCATTTGAGGCTTGGCAAATAGATTTTATACATCTTCCTTCATTTCATGGATATAAGTATATTTATTCATGGCATATATGATTTCTCACAGACTGAGGCTTTCCCCTGTAGACAAGTTACTGCCTCTACAGTGGCTGAAGTCCTATTTAGAGAAGATTATTTCTGCTTAGGAAACTCCACACTGATTGAGGAACACGTTTTACAGATAAGATGCTGCAACAAGTCTGTGCTATTTGTCCAGTTCTGCAACATTTTCCCTGTGCTTTCTTTTCCCACCTTCAATCCTGCAGTTTAGTTCAATGCACTAATGGCATTATTAAAATTCAATTGGCAAAATGTGTAGTAACTCTTCAAATACTTTGGCCAAAAGCATTGCTGTTGATCCTTTGAAATTTCATCTAGGGGAGATAAATGGTGATGGAAGACTTGCCTTGAGGTGGTGAATACACAGTATATAGATGATGTGTTACAGAACGGTACACATGAAACCTATATAATTTCATTAACCAGTATCGCCTCAATAAAAAAGTAAAAAAACCCTCAGCCCCACCCCTTCAGAACTCATAAGCGCTCACCTTTTGAGATTATTACAAGATGCCCCATGCATTTGGCTCCTGCTCCTTTTGACCCACAGCTGATAAAGGGGGACATACTCTAAAGGCTTAATTGCTTCAATGGAAAAGTAATCATGCTTTAGTAGTGAAATCTTTGTATAGTGCACTCCAAGGAAATGAAAACTCAAAACCCACATCCTACAACCTAGAGATTTTGTATACTGAAAAAGATACCTTAAAAAAAGACTCCCTCCAGACCTGACTGGTGTGGCTCAGTTGGTTGGGCATCATCCCCAAAACTGAAAGGTTTGCTGGTTCAATTCCCTATCAGGACCCGCGCCTGGAGTCTTGCTGGAAGGGCCTCTATTAGGTACCATTGACTAAACCCTGTAGTGCTAAACCCCAGGGAGTAGAGTCTTGGATATGCGACACACCTAAAAAAGTCACCGAACCTTGGCTGGAACCATACATACTCTCATGACTTAAAACTGTCAAAATTTAAAGCAGGTGACCTTTGAAGGAAACACCTTTCCCTGAACAGTGAATCAGGCCTATACAAACCTTTTTCTTACTATTTATTCTTAATTTTTTATTTTCCTTGGAAAGAACATGGCCTTGTTCACATTTCCTAATCTATTGTTGAAAGGAGGGTTTCCTGGTTTTCTGGTTATTGAATGTGTCATCAAGAACTTTGATCTAGCCCTGGCTGGAGTGGCTCAGTGGATTGAGCACTGGCCTTTGGTTGGATTCCCAGTCAGGGCACATTCCTGGGTTGCAGGCGAGGTCCCCAGTTGGGAGTATGTGAGAGGCAACCGAACCTCACACATCGATGTTTCTCTCCTTTTTCTTTCTTCTTTCCCCCCTCTGAAAAAATAAATAAAATGTTTTTTTAAAAAAAACTTTTATCTATCCAAGATAAGCATGATTTTTGTTTTATTACCTGCAGGTTTGAGCTCCTGATTTAAATTCACCATATAAATTAAGCTTACTATGTTGTTCTAATTCTGTTTTAAATTTTTGTTATTAAGCTCTGTACCTGTTGCTTGTTAACCTTGGACACAAGCTGTTGCTGGTCCATACACCTTCCATCTGATCCGAGAGACAACACCTAGGAAAGGTCCTTCCTGATAATAAGGGACAAAAGGATGCTGAAGTTGGAAGACCTGCCTATTGGTCAGTGAGGCTTTCAGAGAAAGATCTTGATCAATGGGGAGGGATGATAAAGATGATAATGAGACTGTAAAGAACAGGTCTGTCGGGAGCCTCTGTGGGAGGAGCTTGGGCTTATGGGAGGAGTTCTTGCACTCTAGGTCATCCCTAGAAGCCTCCAGCAATAGCTCTGCTTACAACAAAGCTCTGTTTGTAATTGCCTCTCCCCTTAACTTCACTTTTCCTATCTATAAATACTTCTCCATCTTGGCATGCTGGGCAAGGTGTGCACATGGCTTGCCGTGTCTGCTTATACTGCATTGCATTTCTTTCTTTTGTCCCAAATAAATCCTTTTTGGAGACAAAACGAAGTAGGCAGGCTACTCCCCAGGGCCAGCTGTCAGGAATCCAAAAACTCATTCATTAATCAATCCTAAGGTCTTCCCTCTATAGCAGGGGTGTCAAACTCATTTTCACCAGGGGCTACATCAGCCTTGCAGCCTTGCCTTCAAAGGGCCAAATGTAATTTTAGGACTATATAAATATAACTACTCTTTAACAGTTAAGCAAGAGCTCGGTGCTGCCCCCTGGTAGAAACAAGGTTTCCGGTGGGATAAAACAAGGCGGAGGGCTGGATTTGGCCCAAGGGCATTGTGTTTGCCACCTGTGCTATAAAGACAATTAGCTGCTAGACTGAAGGACACTGCTGTCTGCAAGATTTACTTTGACGAGTTTAAATTTTGTGTCTTTCAAGTCACACATGTGACTTGCAAAAAAGACTGTTTTGGGGGGGGCAGTTGGTGACCCTCTCTTATTTAAATGCTAAAAAACACATCCTGATGAAGATTTAACCCCATGCTAATGAGATACACCCTGCCAAGAGAAGCACCTAGTTCCACTGGGAAGGCACCCAAAGTCTATATACTTAAACATCACAGACATCACTTTTCCCGCCTCAAAACTGTTCCTTGGCTTTTGTCGGAGAGCAGCATTTCTCCTTTTCCCTTTCAGTATTGTCTCCCTTGGTATATGAGCTATTTAATAAACCTTCACCTGAGCCCTAATTCTTGTGATGAACTCTCTCAATTTCTATCCTGGGGTTTCTTAAGAACCCAGGATTATTTAGTGGTAGTATTTTCACCTGCCATGTGGGAGACCCTGGTTTGATTCCCAGCCAAAACTGTATATTGGTTTTGGGCGATCTCTTTTGATTTCTGTCCTAGGAGATCACAAGAACCCAGCAGGCCAGTAACAGAAACACTTAGTCAATACTGATTTTCAGTTGACACAATGAAATATTCCTCAACCATAAAAACAAATGAAATATTAACATAAGCTACAACAGGGATGCGCCTTGAAAAAATTATGCTGAGTGAAGTTAATCATGAAGACCATATATTTTTTATGGCATGCATATGAAAGAACCTAATAGGGAACTCTGTAGAGACAGAAGATAATTAGGGATTGTCCAGGGGAGGGTATGGGAGGAGGAAGATGGGAAGACTGAGAGTGACAGCTGTATAAAGTGTACACTGTAGTATATGTATATCAAATCATCATGGTGTAATCTTTAAATATAATTTTACTAGTTAATTATACCTCAGTAAAACTGGGAAAGTTCCCAAGTGCATCCCAAAATTACATGATGATTTATAATAGTTTTGCTTATAGCAATAAAAATAGGAATTAAATGTTAGAGATATTAAATCTGCTTACATTTTTAAGTTTTCTAGGGTCACAAGGAAAAACTGACCTAAAATTAATTTTTTTTAGTGTCCAACATACACCTGAGAATGTAATGAACACATCTCACACCTTGTGACTAAGTTGAGAAGAGTCCCCGTGCCCGGCGGGGTTCCAGCTTCCCTTCAGAGCCTAGAGCTCTAGGATTCTTTCTCTTAAGGGCCAGATGAGAAGGTCTGGGAAAGGGATGGGTGGGAAGTTCAAGGCTTGCAAGGATCAAGACTAAAATGGAGCCAGACTGTTACAAACGGTGAGGTCAGATTGTCTGTGTTTCTAAACAAGGGTCACAGTTCTATGAGTGAGATCGCAGCCTTACGCCGAATCCCGGACCCTCTACAAGGTATCACACCCTCTCATTCCAGGGTGGCCTGGCCTGCCCCACCCTCGAGTGTACTTGCTCCATCTTGAAACTGAATCAGGGATTCTGCTAGCATCTCTGACCACGCCTTCCGACGAACTGTGGAAAAGACAAAGGAATAAGCCCCAGGCCAGGAACAAGTTCTGTTTAAAAGCTTATGTCGGCGGGACGCAGGATGGGGAGGGAGGGAACAGACCGACTCTGGGCCTCCGACAGAGCTGGTACAGCAAAGCCACAGGTCCTCCCGGTGGTTGTCACTCAGGCGCGTGGGGGCAGGGACTTATAAGCTGTCCAATCAGAGGCCTCTCTGGGGCAGAGGGGTGGGGTGACGGCCCGTACAGGCGTTGTGATGTCCCTTCACCTTCAGGCCACGCTCTAGTCCACTCGTTGCTCGGCTACCGTGAGCGGTTCCCGGAGGCCCTGGCGTAGCCTCTGTGGCGCTGTGGTCTGCACCAGGCGTAGACAGGACTCAGGGAGACCCAGGAAACCTAGAAATGGTGAGTATGAGGGCAGGGTACTGGATGGAGACCTGGGGCTGGTCGGAACCGCTGGAACCTGCCTAGCTGACCGGCCTCCCAGCGGTCAGGTTCGAGTCCGCCTACCTCAGGGTCCCAGGCCACCGCTGGTACCTGCATCTTATCTGGCTGGCAGCGGGCCCAGACCCCGGGCGTCCTGTTCCGTCCCTTCGCGTCCAATTCGGCCCAGCCTAGAAGCTGCGCTGGCAGCTCTAAGCCTGCAGCCCCGCTTCTTCACAGATGGTGCGGCCACGGCGAGGGTCGTAGGGGGGCAGTCGTTAAGTCCGACTCCCGAGTTTGTGCGTGGGAGGAGCTGTGGTGGTGGCATCCTGAGTTCCTGCTTTCTTCCCATTAACACTCGTATTTTCCCGAGTTTTCGAAAGGTTGGGGGAGCAGGGCATCAAATCCACGACCCAGTTCCCCTCGCTAAGCTCTACCTGGGGCTGGTGATAAATCCCTTAATTTCCAGGTCCCTCTCCTTGTTCCCAAATGGCGCGTCCCTTACCTGATCTACAATGTCATCCGTGGTGCATCTGAAACACTCCAGTATTTTCCTTGTTTAACCTTTTCTCCACGTAGTTATGAATGGCTATCCTTTAAAGACATACTTTTATCTCTGAATATTTTGCATGAGAGGAGATCCCCGTTCCTCACCCCCAGGACCTTCCCTGGGCACAGACATCCTGTGGGAAGTCCTTTGGGTGGAGGATCTTTTAAAATCTTTCCTGGGTAATCTACCCTGCTAGCCCTGCTTCTCCCTGGGTATGACACCCTGGTGAAATTTGTTGATTTAAGTTTTCCTTTTTCGGTGAGGGTGGAATGTATTTAATCAATAGAGCTTGAAAGATAGTATAAACTAGTTTCAAAAAGGCAAAAGAGTGATGAAGTTCAGAAAAAAAAATCCAGTATTACCAATTCATTTGTTAAGAATTCTGATTTCACTGTTTTCTTCCCTTCAGCATGTAGTGAGTTTCTGAGGTTCCTATGTTCTTTACTTTTTGGTGCTTTCAAATGAAATTCCAGAGCTTAGACTTGCAGAGCAGATGTGTTCAAGTGTGATTAATTATTACAAAACAATGTCTTGTCATAGAAACAGAATTAACTGACACTTTTTTTTCCAGCATGGAACAGATACTTGGGCTTTTCTGGTTTAACTAAGAAAAGCGAGTTACTGTTTTCTTACTCCCCTTTCCACATTATCACTGGGTTTGAGTGATTTTGCTGGCTTGTTCAAATGTCAGGTTTATGTAATTTATATATTGATCGGGTGGTACCAGGCTTCTCAGTGGGGAGCAGAGGCCCTTGGCCAGTGATGCTAAGGCCCCTTTTGAGCCTGCACAGGGAAGCACTGGAAGGCCCAGTTGTTCTTCCTGGGGAGCCTCCCCCTGCAGGTATCTTTCCTGCTCACACCCACCATGGAAGGAGCTGGTACACTGAGGAAAGCTGCAGACACCTGGAAAGCTGGGAATGCACATGCCCAAGGAGGGGGAGTGGGGATGGCATCCTTTCTGAGGTTGTTTCTTAAGTCTAGACATTTTTAGAACTTATGTTTGAATTTTGCAACAACAGTTTAGATGTGCTCAAGGCGTATTTTTTGCACGTGGAGACGTCTGTGAAGATCAGGTGGACAACGGAGTTTATGAATTGGGGAGTTACTCCAGTGGTTCTACCTCAATCAGGGGCACCTAGACCCCAAGTCAGTAATTATGTTTGCCTGAGTGTGAGTTTCCTTCTGAAATGTAGGGAAGCAGGCTGCTCATCTGTTTTCATTCTCATGTTTTTGAGGAGGGTTCCATTAAATTCCTTTCTCCCTTGAATATTGCAGCTGTTTGATTCTAGTTCCCATTAGAACTTGGGCTTTTATAATGTAGTTGAATGAGAGAATAAGGCCAGAAAATAAGTATATGGTGATATCTCATTGTTTTATTTGTAATCCCCCAATGTAATGACCATGTTTTCATATTGCTTATTTCCCACTTGTATTTTTCTTTAGTGAATTGTCCCCTTTTTAAAATTTGTTCATTGGAGAGGCAGACAGACAGACAGGCCTTGATTTGTTGTTCCACTTGTTTATGAATTCATTGGTTGATCCTGAATGTGCCCTGATCCAGGAATTGAACCCGCAACCTTCGCATATCTGGACACACGCTAACCAACTGATCTACCCAGCCAGGGTATTTTGTCCATTTTTAATTGGCTTCTTTGTATTCTCATTGTTCAGTTTTAAGAGTTCTTTGAATATTTTGGATACCCGTCATTCATCAGATAACTTTTTTACAAAAGATTTTGTCCTACTCCTACTCTGTGACTTGTCTTTTCATTCAATTAACACTCTTCACACACAGGAGTTTTTCATATTAATAAAGTGAAACTTTTTTTAGTTCTTATCTAAAAATGTATTACTAAATACAAGGTCACCTAGATTTTCTTTCTTTTTATTTTTTAAGATTTTATTTATTTATTTCTAGAGAGGGGAAAATGGGGAGAAAGAGGAAACATCAATGTGTGGCTCTTGTGTGCCCTGCACCGGAGACCTGGCCCACAACCCAAGCATGTATCCTGACTAGGAATCAAACTGGTGATCCTCTGGTTCACAGGCCAGTACTCAGCCCATTGAGCCACACCAGCAAGGGCTAAATTTTCTCATATGTTACATTCTAGGAATTGTTTTTACTTTTGCATTTTACATTTGGATATATGATCTATTTTGAGTTCATTGTTGGGCAAAATTTAAGTTCTATGTCTACATTCACTTTGTGTATGTGCATGTGTGTGTATGTATGTATTATGTCCAGCATGGTTTGTTTAAAAGACTTTCTTTTTTTCTTATAATTGCTTTTACTTATTTGTCAAAGATCAGTCACCTGGCTATTTCAGCCATCATCTCTGTTACTGTGGGATTTTTGCAGATGTTTTACCTAGACAGTCATGTCATATAGAACAAAGACATTTTTGTTTGTTGCTTCCCAATCTGTGTACCTTTTATATCCTTTTCTTATTACATGGCCAGGGCTTCCAGTACAGTGTTGAATGGGATTGGTGAAAGGAAACCTTGCCCTTCTCCCCATCTTACCAGAAAAGCATCTACTTTCTCATGATTAAGTATGATATTAGCAATAGGTACAGTGATGTTTTCTCAAGAAGAGAGAATTCTCCCTCTGTTACTAGATTATTGTCATAAATGGATGTTGGATGGCATTAAATTCGTTGTCTTGTTCATTTGCCCTTTTATTTCTGATGTTAGTAATCTCTTTTTTCTCAATTATTTTGACTAGATGGTTATCATTTTATTAATATTTTTCAATGGACCAACTTTTGGTTTCCCAAACTAGGAAAGTTTTTTTTTCTTTCACACTTTAAACATTTTACTCTACTCTCTTCTTCCTTGCATGGTTTCTGAGAAGTCTGATTTAATTATAATCTTTTTTTCTCTATACCTAAAGTATGTTTTCCCCTCTGGCTTTTCTCAATATATTTTCATCTTTGATTTTTCTCTAGTTTGAACATGATATACTTGGTTTGCATTTCTGGTGTTTTTCATGTTTAGTTCACTGAGCTTTTTAATTATACAATCTGCTGACTATGATTAATTTTAAGAGCTCAGTGATTACTACTTACCTATTTTGTTCTATTCCTTTGTCTTTTCCTCCAGGTATCCCCATTATGTATATTTCAGTCTTTTGTAATTGCTCTGTAGTTCATGGGTATTGTGTTTTGTGATGTTTATTCTTTTTGTCTTTACATTACAGGCTTTGATAAGAACATAATATTTTGGGCATATTTTAAAATGCTATTTTGCATTAGCCAGATGGCTCAGTTGGTTGGAACACCATCCTATAAACGAAAAGGTTGCCATTCAATCCCCAATTGGGGAGCTGATGGAAGGAAACTGATGGATGTTGCTCTCTCTCACTCCCCCTTCCTCTCTCTCTAAAACCAATAAATATATGTATAACATAAAATGCTGTTTTATTTTCTTTCAAAAATTTGAAGACAGTGGTTTGATTGTGACCTCAGTGCTCTGATGGATCTAAGAAAAGTTGTTCAAGTTTTTCCCATAAGGTCAGTAATGATGGCTTCCAAGTTCCTGAAATGTCCAATCAGAAACCAGAATTCTCTGACTTCAGTTGATGATTGACAGATGACAACTTTTCAGTCTCATCCCTCCTTATTCCCCTTTGACCCACATCTGCACAAAGTGATGAGTGCCTTGGTGCTCCTTCCTTCAAAGGTGGCAGAAGATTCAGCCCTCTGAGGTCCTGATCTTGCATGTGAACCATAACGAACCCAACCCCTGACCTCAACTTTACAAAAAGTCCAGGCATCTCTTCTTGCTCTCTCAAGCCATTTCATGACTACTGGAGAGGCCTGCCTTTTCTTCCCCACACACCTCAGTTGTGGAGGTAATAAGCCCTTCATAAACTCTTGACCATGTGTGCTGTCAACACCAAAGGGATGCAACATATGCTCAGGGCTCGAGGTACCATGCTGCCTCACTCCACGTGGGAGCTTGGGAACTAGACAACATAGGAGTGCAGTCTCTAGGGTGGCTGGTCAGGAAACACATACTCCTGCAAAGTAAAAACGGAGATCTTATGTCCTTTTAAAGGAGAGCGCTGCTGAATCCTCCCATCCATGTATGTTATACTCACAGGCAGATTTACCCTCAAACTTTTGTGGATTTCACTGAACACAGTTGCAAATTTTAATTCTCAAACTGATCCTCAAGGTCAAGAAGGTGCAGGGCGGTCTGTTTCTGCCGTAAAGAGCACTTCTGGCCCTGGCTGGTGTGGCTCAATGGATTGAGTGCTGACCTGCAAACCAAAGGGTCGCTGGTTCGATTCCCAGTCGGGGCACATGCCTGGGTTGTGGGCCACATTCCTGGTGGGGAGCATGGGAGAGGCAGCCAAACATTGATGTTTCTCTCCCTTTCTTTCTCCCTCCTTTCTCCTCTCTCTAAAAATAAAAAAATAATAATTTTTTTTTAAAAAAGAGCACTTCTGGCATATTTGTTACTGTATGTGCTGATATCTGCCAAAAATTGTCTCCAAGCGGCCCTGAGACACATGAATATAGGGATTTTGTAGTCTCAGCTGTTGTTCCTTTTTCCTAGTGTCTGAACTCAAAGTTCCCATTAACCTTCTAGCCCATCGAATTGGACTGAGAAAGCAGAACTGAGTCTGGGGTAAAGATTATACAAGGCAAAAACAATACTTTTTCTCAAAAATATTTCAATTTTGCCAGCTGTGTCTGACCACTTCTAGAGGCCTGGTGCACTTTAGGGGCAATAATGGCCAGCTGCACCTCATTAAATGTTGGATTTCTACTGGTCTCTTGGACTGTCATGTTTGGTGATAAAAATAGAAGAAAGGGCTTCCTTTTTTTATTCATTAAACTTTAATACGGACATGACCCTCTGCCTCATGCAGGACTATAAATGATGGGTAATGAGGAAGGAGATGAAAGAGTTTTTCTCACAATGGTCTTAAAATATTTGTTTTATCTGTATAGCATTTCTGTCACTCCTTAGCATGCTCTGTACCCTGCCATTAGAGAAAAATAAGATGTAATGTGATCACAGTAAATGTATGTAAATCATTTCCCTATGTCCATCATGCTGTTAAATTTATAAGGAAGTAAGTGTGGACAGAGGGTAAGCTTCTGATGATCAAATCATAGCATAAGGGTTTGGAGATGACAGAATCATACATAAGCTTCCTATAAGTGGAGTCCAGTTGTCATGTTCAGTCAGTCTCACACATCCTACTGTAAGCATGCTTGGGATGTTTTAGGACGCTGTGGCCATTGAAGACGTGGCTGTGGACTTTACCCTGGAGGAGTGGGCCTTACTGGATCTGCCACAGAAGAAACTGTTTAGAGATGTGATGCAGGAAACTTTCAAGAACCTGGATTCAGTAGGTAAGGATAACAACTTTTCCTTGACTTGGTCAATTAGAGAACAAGTATTCTTTGCTCGTCATCTTTTTTCCAAGATGTGAAATGTGGAAAAGGACATTGGTAAGTAAACTAGGCATGGTCACAGCTAACAACATAGAATCTAATAATTTTGTAACAATTTTTAATATTTGTGATCATTTTTCTGGGTCTACATTTTAGGCAAAAAATGGGAAGATCATGACATTGAAGATCAGGACAAAAACCAGGGGGGAAAACTAAGGTGAGTGACAGTCACAACAAAGTACAGTCTCATAGGAGAATCCTGGTGTAATTTTTTTTTTAAAGAAACAAGATAAATAACTCCTGCTTCAGATTTAGTTATTCTTGTTTTTTGTTCTTTTTTAATCCTCACCCAAGCATATGCTTACTGATTTTAAGGTGAGAGGAAGAGGGAGAGAGAGAGAAACAACTATGTGAGAATCAGCCTTCGGTGGCCTGCCATATACACCCCAACCAGGGATTGAAACTGCCACTGAGGCGTGTGCCCTGACTGCGGATCTAACCTGCAGCCTTTTGGTGTACGGGATGATGCTCCAACCAACTAAGCCATCCTGCCAGGGCCAAATTTGGTTATTCTTAAGAATTTTTACCAGAAATATTTTCTTTATATGTGACATAAATATTCAGTGTTTGCAAAATAGTTTACTTGGAAACTTATTAATAAGCTTTATATATGAATATCACTGTTTTGATCATTGCAAGGGAGTAGTCCTCCTGGAGAGCATTTAGTATATTCAGCTTCGGAGAATTCAGACAAGGCAGGAAACTTACACTTGTCCTAAAACCCTAATAAACATTGTGAAAAATGTTATTTAAAAAATTACTTGTAATGTCCTTCTCATTTTTTTTTTTGCAGAAATCAAATGGTAGAAAGACTCTGTGAAAGTAAAGAGGGTAGTCAATGTGGAGAAAACTTCAGCCTTATCTCAAATCTCAGTCTGAACAAGAAAACCACTGGAGTGAAACCACATGAGTGCGATACATGTGGGAAAGTCTTCACGCATCATTTTTCCCTTAATTGGCACATCAGGTGTCACACTGGACAAAAACCATATGAGTATCTGAAATATGGAGAGAGGCCATATAAATGTAAGCTTTGTGGGAAAGCTTTTATTTTTTCAAGTTTATTTAAAATACATCAAAGGATGCACACTGAAGAGAAAACCTATCATTGTAAGGAGTGTGGGAAAGCCTTCCGTTTTCGTGCAACTTTGCAAATACACAGAAGGATTCACACAGGAGAAAAACAATATGAATGTGAGGAATGCGGGAAACCTTTCATGTGGCTCACAAGTTTTCGAAGACACATGGCAATGCACAATATATATGGTCCTTATAAATGTAAACAATGTGGAAAAGTCTTTAGATATCACCGTGCTTTTCAATCACACGAGAGGACTCACACAGGAGAGAAATCCTACAAATGTAAGCAATGTAGAAAAGCTTTCAATTCTCAACGAGGTTTCCAAGCACATCAAAGATATCATCAAGGAGAGAATCCCTATGAATGTAAACAATGTGGAAAAGTCTTTAGATATCCTCATACTTTTCAAGCACATGAAGAGATTCACACAGGAGAGAAACTCTATGAATGTAAACAATGTGATAAATTTTTCAATTCTCGTCGAGGTTTCCAAGTACATGAAAGATATCACAAAGGAAAGAAGCCTTATGAATGTAAGAAATGTGGTAATGCTTTCAGTTCTCATCAAGGTTTTGAAATACATGTAAGAAGAAATCACAAGGGAGAGAAACCCTACGAGTGTAAGCAGTGTGGTAAAGGTTTCATTTGTCATCGAGGTTTCCAATTACATGAAAGAAATCACAAGAGAGAGAAATCCTCTGAAATTAAATGTGGTAAAGCTTTTGGTTATTACCATTACTTACAATTACACAGAGAAACTCATACTGGAGAGAAACCCTATGAATGCAAGGAATGTGGGAAAGCCCTAGGCAGTAGCAAAGCCTTAAAGATACACGAGAGACTGCACACAGGGGAGAAACCCTATGAATGTATGCAATGTGGCAAAGCCTTCAGGAATCCATCTGGATTTCGGTCACATGTGAAAATACATGCTGGAAATAGACCATATCAGTGTAAGGAATGTGGGAAAGCCTTCATTTATCCATCACGCGTTCGAGCACACATGCGAGTACATGATGTAAATAGACCTTATCAATGTAAGGAATGTGGGTTAGCATTTTATTTTCCCAGTACATTACGCAGGCATGAAATGACTCACACTGGAGAGAAACCTTGTGCATGTAAACACTGTGGTAAAGCCTTCAGAGATCACAGTTACTTAAAAATACATGAGAGAAGTCACACTGGAGAAAAACCCTATGAATGTAAGCAATGTGGTAAAGCTTTTTCTTCTCAGCTAGGTTTCCAAGTACATACAAGAAGTCACACTGGAGAGAAACCATATGAATGCAAAGAATGTGGGAAATCCTTTAATTATCCCAGTTCCTTCCGAAGGCACAAAAAGACTCACAGGATTCATCTTCTTGAATGTAAACAGCGTAAGAAAATCTGATCCACATTCCTACATGTGGAAAAAAAAAGAAATATAAATGTAACATGAGAAAGCTCAGTGGAAATTCATGTGTAATGTTCTGGAAGACTTTCAACATGAAAAGGTTATTATAAATGTAAGTATATTGTGTTTATCAAGCCTCCTTAAAGTACATTGTTGGACTGTGGATTTCTACTAATTATTTTCAGAACTGAATATTCAGATAATTCTGTGAATCATCATTCAACAATAAATAATATATAAGACTATAGGTAGTATTTCTTCTTTAAGTCAGTGAATAGTATTTTATATTTCCATTTTGAAATCTGTTAGAGTCATAGGTGAATTGAAGTGTATTTCTAATATACAGTTTAATTTTGTGATAATGTTCTGTTTGTTGAGTGTTAGGGGGACATTGAAAAGTCTAAGTTTGGTTTTTGTTGGGATTTTCCTACTGGTTTTGTGACAGTTTCTAGATATATTTAGTCCCTTATGTATATACTCTACCTTTCTTACTGAGAAAGCTGTTTTTGGGGACTGGTGGGTATAGGAGCCTTTTTTTCACTTTCACACTAAGAAACCATCATAGTACATTTTTTATGTGTGAGAGTATATGATAGTTTTATGTGAATTACTATTTTCATACTGATTTCTCCTTGGCAACACCAGGAGGCTGAGAGCCAGAAGAATGACAGTTAGTGGCAGGACATGGGTGATGAGCTGATTCCCTTCAGTCACAGCTGTCACGTGTTTACCAGATCTGCTTCCTCACTTAATCCCACAACACTTCCAAATGGCTCTAGAATTTGTTGACATAAGTCACTCCGCTAGTCTTTCTCTCCCAAGCTTTTTACTATAGAAGCATCCAAGACTCTGCAGACCAGCCATGGTGGACATAAATTACCCAGGGCATTCTTATTCAAAGACTGTTTTCCTCCACCCATGCCACATACAGTTAGAGCAGCCAACACTGACAACTGACAAGATCTGTTTGTCATGGAGTCCCTCCCAGGCCCTCAGTTGGTCTGCTCTGTCGCCTGCTACCAATTTTGCCTTGGGTCACGAATGCAGGACCCTCAGGCTTTCTAACTATAGTTCTCATTGAAGAGATGCCAGTACTTACAGCACGGTGCTGAAAATGGTGCCCCTGGTATATCCCACCTACAGGGGGAAGTGTGTTTCCTTCACATTCGTGTAGTCTGTTCTAAAGGTCCCTTTTCTAAACATATTGGCCACTTTGGGAGTCTCTGAGAAGCATATGAATGATGAGAAAACTCATAAATTTTATAGACAGTGTGCTCCCACCACACCTGATGGACTCCCTGCAGAGATGCTGTATTTTGTCCCTAGTTCAAACAGGCCATCCCTGATCAAAGACTGGACACAAACAGCAGATCTGTTAGTTAAACTGCAGGCAATCACGTTAGGATTAGAGAACTCCCTGGCCAAGAATTGAACTCATGTATACAATTTTATAACTCCTTTGGCCTCTGCCAATATGTAGCTGTCTCATCCCACCAATAGCAACAACTCCTTACTAATGTCACTTCTTTGGCATAAACTCTGGGAATATCTTTTCTGTTTCACCACTTTTAGAAAAAGGAAGGGAGAGTCAGAGAAACATTGATGTGAGAGAGAAGCATCGATCGGTTGCCTCCCATATGTGCCCAGACCAGGGATTGGGGATCAAAGATCAAACCTGCAACCTAGGTATGTGCCCTGACCGGGAATCAAACCCACAACCTTTCAGTTATGGGATGATGCTCCAACCAACTGATCCACACTGCCCAGGGCTCTGGGGATATCTTGCTTCACAACAACCAAGTCAAGTCAAGTCCACTTGTAAGTCTGCATACATCAAACCTCAGTCTGTAGAGGCTCATTTTAATGCTCAGGGAAATAAATTGAGTTAGATTTCTGACACATATACTGACACCTCTGATATGATGCTGTTAACCTTGGCTCTGTGGGCCCACACAATATTAAGCCATTTAAAGACCTCATACCTAAAGTTCTAGGCAAAATTGAAGAAACTTCCTTCCTTTGCCATGGCTCATTTAGTGACTGACAAATACACCTAATGTGAGAAAATGCACCACTGGTAATATAATGAACATACTTTCCATACCAAGGAAAGGGTACCTACAGCTAACGGCAAATATGGTTTTTAGTAGCCCCTCACCACATCTGCTGGGCTGCTTGCTGCACTCACACCATGGTAGAAACTCATAGACAAATTACTCGTCCTATCATACATGATCCTACTGAAGTCAAAAAGCAGGCACTTAAGAAAGACACTCTATAAATTAAAATGGAACACTGGGCTCTTAAAAGAAGGCATTCCATGAACCTTGCATCTCTCTTATGACCCTCCTCCACTCTCACAGTTGGCCTAATTGTTAGGAGGAACCTTGCTTCTAAATGGATCTTCCTGCTGTTTGAGGCATTACTTAGATTCAGTGCTCAGTCGTTAGAGCCTGTTGCTGTTGTTCTGATCATCAGGCTTACCAGACATTTCAGTCAGAATGGTCTCTCCTACAGATCTTTGGTTTATTGGAACAGTGTGTCCCAGCCACAACTCCTACATCCCACTCCTGAGATGTCCTGTGTATCTATTTCATTTTCGCCACATTTCTTCAAAGCCCCTTCACCCACCCACCACAAACGGGCTGACTTCCTACCAATTATGCTCATGCACTCATTGTCCTGGGAGGCACTGGCGCTGACCTGGGCACACGTGACGATCATTCAGCAAGCAACCCATTAATGCCAATGTGGTAACGTCAAAAACACACAAAAAAATACATAACACAGCTAATGATTCAGATGGCTTCCTTGACAGAAAACCCTGCATTGGTGATGACATCTTGAATTTGGTGTATTTAGTAGCAACCAGAGAGAGTCATGTTCCCCTAAAATGGCTGCTGGCCGCACGTGGGTGGACTACCCTGGGAAGGTGCCACCAAAACCACAACACAGACGAAATAACATTACTAAGCGATTAGAACCGTTCTGGAACCATACTCTCCTGGATCTCTCCAACACCCGAGGATGACTGGACTCAAACGGGTTTTGTTAGGTTTCACAGCTTAGTTATAATATATCATTGGTGCATTTTACCTGCCTTTTAATTTATGTTCAGATTCTTTTAAAGGAGATGTGACACAGTTCAGTCAACAAAGCTCAGGAGAAAAAAAAAGCCCAGGAGAGAGCTTTAATAAAGGTGCTGAGCTCACTTTTGATATTTGACCTTTAATTAGTGTAGACACCAGCACACCCTGCTCGACCCGCGTAGGGAAACCTATGATGTTGACACGTCTCCCTTTGAGTGAGCAGGTAAAAGAGTCTAACCTTGAATATTTCCAGCCTCTAATCCTACACATCTTAAAGGGCCAACCCATTCTTCTTTGTGGAAGCCACCTATATGAAGGTACCTTTTAGAAGATACCTTTGAGTAATAATTTTTCTCTTCATTTGATGCATGTGGTAACACATAGTCTTGACATTTGGTCCTATTTTAAGTAAGGTATCCAGCCCTCAAACGGGCAATGATAGCCCTGACCGGTGTGCTCAGTTGGTGGAGCATCATCCTGCAAAGTAAAGACTCGCTGGTTTGATACCCGGTCAGGGTGCGTACAGGAGGCAACCAATTAAACTTTCTTGCACTGACGTTTCTCATCTTCTCTTTCTCCCACCACTTCCCTCTCTCTAATAATAAACAAACTTTTTTTAAAAAGGGCAATGATAGCTCTGGCTGGTGTGGCTCAGTGGATTAAGTGCCTGTGAACCAGAAGGTCACTGGTTCAATTCCCCATCAGGGCACATGCCTGGGTTGCAGGCCAGGCGTCCAGGTGGGGGTGTGCGAGAGGCAACCCATCGAAGTATCTGTCACACATCAATGTTTCTCTCCCTGTCTTTTTCCTTCCCTTCCCATATCTCTAAAAATAAATAAATAAAATACTTTTCTGAAGGACAATGATAAAACAAGGTAATCAATGGGAAAGGTTTTTCGGGTGACAAATAGCTGTCCACTGTGGGGAACTTTGAGATGATGAGGGGAAAAAATTCAAAATGCAGAGATTCTATTATCATATTTTTAGATTCAGTGGCTACAAAAGAAAACCTTTGAAACCACCCACAAGGGCACTAGCAGTAGGATTAATCATTAAAAATGGTATAGTGTCATAACGGAAATAAAGAGCAACACAAGTGAATGAATGGTTTCTGTCCAAACATGTAAATAGCTTGGAGTGCCCATTCTCTTCTTCACAACAATAAAAAACTGAAAAATCTAAAGAACAGCATTTCTTCTTAGATCTACAAGAAGTTTAAGGTTATATGGCAAAGCAGTGCCCCCAAAACGAGAGGCTGGAGACTGTGGAGAACTGCTGCTCACTGAAAGCGGAGGCCAATGGAGCCAGCAACCGCCAGGAAAGTGTGAACTATAGTAGACGAATTGCTGAGACAGTAAAAACTAGCTTAAGATTTACAAACTCAAAGTGGAGGCCTGTCTTTAGAGTGCTCCCCACAGTTCATGAATTTTTTTGCAGAAACCCAAACAGATTCTAATAGTGAATCTTGGGGAAAAAAATGCCTCATGCTTCTTACAAGTAATGGGAAATATTTTTACACACACACAAAGCATTCTGTTCTCTGTAACACAGGCTATCCCTCAAAGAAAACTACTTTGCCAAAGACTGCGTGGTGAAAGAGTGGTCAGACATCATCTAGACCCTTCAGGTTTATACTCTGACAAACAGGGAGGAGTCAAGGCTAAGAACATGCTTTACAGATGGCCAATAGACATATGAAAAGATGCTCAATGTCACTAGTCAGAGAAATGCACGTTAAAACCACAATGACATATCACTTCACAGCTGTCAGAATGACTATCAATAAATCAATAACAATGCTGGTGAGCATGTGGAGAAGAGGCAACCCTTTCCACTGTTGGTGGAAATGCAGATTGGTGCAGCCACTGTGGAAAGCAGTATGGAGGTTCCTCAAAAAATTAAAAATGGAACTGCCTTATGACCCAGCAATTCAGCAGTTACACTTCTGGATGTATATTCAAAGAAAGAAGAAACACTAATTCAAAAGAATATATGTACCCCTATATTTATTGCAGCATTATTTACAATACCCAAAATATGGAAGCAACCGGTGCCCATCAATAGATATGTGGATAAAAAAAGCTATGGTACATATATACAATGGAATATTACTTTTTCA